ATGAGAAGTCGTGACCGGTGGAGTCAAAGCCCGATGGCCGTGAGGACAGATACTCAACGATGACATTGGGTGGCGGTTTGCGCTATATCGTGAGCTAACAGAAGTTGGAAATATGGAGCATTGGATTGTGACCCAGTGGCTCAGTGGTAACGCGCTGGCCACGGAACCTGAAGGTGGCGGGTTCGATCCCTGCTGGTGGGGTCGTGGGTGCTCACTGCTGAGGAGTCCCACACAAGGACGAAACGGCTGACCAGTGCTCCCAGGTTTCCTTTGTTCCTCCAACTGATGTCAGTATGCTATGAATAACAACTTGAAATATTCCGGAAATACTTAGCACAAACTGCACGTCGTTGCCGAATAAAGTTGATTACCTTCAGTCACTCTTGTCCACAAATGTTTATCGAAACACCGGTGTAATAATGCTGCAGGAAACATGGCTTCATAATCTGTATGATCATGACTTAGTCTGCTTAGATGGTTTCAAATTATTTCGACAAGACCGAAGCTTTTCGAAGAAGAAATGTGGTGGTGGTGTAGCAACATTTATTAGTACTAACTGGTCGTCCTCCAATTATGTTTGCTTCTGCTTATCTAAGGAAAAAATTGGGTGCATTACCATCAAATGTCACCCCAAACATTTGAGCAAATACAAATACATATATATCACAAACATGTATGTCACACACACCTGACTGCAGTTTCTCAGTTTTGTCAACTATTGCTGATAAATTCACCAAACTTGCTGCTCCGGTTCTGCGAAACTCCTTGTCAATTGTCTGTGGTGATTTTAACTCATGTGACTACAGTTTTCAATTATCATTATTATTATTATTAGTCCCTTGGGTTCCTAATGCAACATAGAGCTTCAGCAGCACGTCACCAATATGCTCTGTTCTCTGAAATCTTTTCAACCTACCTCCACGACGGCCCACAAGCTATCATTTCCTCCTCGCACGATCTACTCCATGTCACCCTCACCCTCACCTCCAACTCCCAACTCGTCGCTTCCCATCGCGGTTCCACTCCAGGGCTTGTCCTCGCCTGACGCGTGATGTCCTCAATCGGCCTACTCAGTCTATGCCCAATCCAATCCATCTCCACTTCCTTCCAGTGCATATTTGTTGGGTGATAGGTTCTTGCTTCATTGGTTCGTTCCCAGACCTCCTTCTTGCTTATTATTTCTGGCAATCCATCTGATCTTCAGTAACCAGTGAGCGTAGGCGACAGTTGTTGATGAATGTCTGCAATTTGTTGGAAATGCCTTTCGTAGCGGGCCAAGTCTCTGAACCATACAGAAGCATTGATTTGACGTTGGTATTGAAAGTCCGGATCTTGTTCCACATGCTGAGTGCAGAAGATCTCCACACTGATTTCAGGCTAATGGACACCAGTCTTGCTTTTCCGATCCCGGCTGGCTTTGACATCCTCGTCTGTGCCACCTGTGGTTGAAACAGTGCTTCCTAGGTAGGTGAAGGAGGTTACTTCCTCTAAGATTCTCCCGTTGCCGGTGATTGGAGTTTGTTGTTGGTGGTGGTATTGTTGGTGGGGTATCTTCATCACTTCTGTCTTCTCTATATTCACTTGAAGGAAGTCCCGTATTCGCTGCCTAGCCGCTTCTGCCAACTTGTTAGTTTTCGCCTGTAGATCTTCAAGTTTGTGTGACACCAGACACAATTCATCGTCGGCGAAATCCAAGTCTTCTAGGTTCTTTTCCGCAGTCAAGCAGCGTATCCCCCTCTTCTCACAGCTCCCCACTGTTTGCTGCATGATCCAGTCCAGTTGACCACAATCAGGAATATCATGGGTGATAGTAGGTAACCTTGTTTCACTCCTGTCTTCACTTCAAAAGCACCACTGAGCTCAGCTTCTCATTGTGAATTACTTTGCATGTCGCGTCTTCATATAGTTGTTGAATGAGGCTGAGAAAGGTTTGTGGTATTTCGTAGTATTGAAGCGGTTGCCGAATTACTTCCCGGTCGACACTGTCAAAGGCCTTCTCAAAGTCGGTGAAGTTGAGGTGTAGAGTTGACTGTTGTTCCATACTCTGTTCTATGATGATGCGAGGCGTTGCAATTTGGTCGGCACATGATTTGTACTTCCTGAATCCAGCCTGCCTGTTCCGGTCATAGTTTTGAATCCAGTGCATCCTTTAGCCTCTTCAGGATGATGCAGCTTAAAATTTTGCTTGCTTTGGGTGGACAGGAGAGTGATTCCACGCCAGTTCTTGCAAACACTGAGGTCTCCCTTCTTCGGCAGTTTGACAAGGTAACCCTTCTTCCAATCAAACGGCAGGTACCTTCCCCTTCTTCCACACCTTCAGCAGTAGTGGTGTTAGCATGTCCGCTGCTGTTGTCTCTGTATCTGTTTTCAGTGCTTCTGGCGGGATCCCATCTGGTCCTGCTGCTTTCCCACATTTCAGTAGCTTTATGGCGTTCAGGACTTCCACTTTTGTTGGAGGATTGATGTTCAATTGTAGTTCAGGGGCTGCAGGTGGTAGTATCTCTGGACGAAGTGCAGGTGGTGGTCGATTCAAGAGCTTCTTCAAGTGGTTGGCCCATCGTTTCCTTTGTTTCTCTTCTTTCGTAATCAAATTTCCGTCATCATCTTTCATTGGTTTCGTCTGCGTTGGTCTCTTCCATAACAGATAGTAACCTGGTTATTTGGTATAATGTTGTCAGGTCTCTCTTACCAGTCGACAGCCTGTTCTGCTTCACCTGCCAGTGTTTCGTAAAAGTGTCATCTGTCTTTGCGTGCACTCTTCTTCACTTCTTTGTCCAGTGTTTTATACATTGCACTCAGTTCCTCTTCTCGTCGTTCATCCTTGCACTAGTTTATCTTCTGTTTCACCATCCTCCTCCCCTCTCCTCTATCAGCTTCCAGGTATCTGTCGAGATCCATTCCTTGTCTTCTTTCTTCTTCCTTCCTAATACGGCTGTGCAGGTTTCTTTCCACATCTCTTTCAAAGACTTCCAGTGTTCTTCCACACAGGTTTCTTCGGGAATGTTCCTCAATATCTCCCATTTTGTCTTGATGGCTGCCTGACGTGAAGATTTCCTTCGTAGTTTTGTCCTTCAGTTTCCGAGTATTGTACATGAACTGCGGTCTATCACCAGCTTCCTTGAAGGCTTTCAACTTGATTTGGAAGTTAGGTCCGTTGCACTAGATAGTGAGTGGTGTGAACCTACATCTGCTCCTCTTCTTGACCTTGTGTCAAGTAGGCTGACTGCGTCTCCACCTCCTTCACGTTGAGATGAGGTCGATCTGATTTTTAGTGTGTCCATCTGGTGAAATCAAAACCATGTCGCTTTGCGGATATCCTCCAATCACCAAATCGTTGAATCCACAGAATTCTGCAAACAATTCTCCATTCTCGTTCATCACCTCACCGAGTGCTTCTCAACCCATGGTTAGTTCTCTTCCTGTGTTGTCTGCTCCCAGTTTGGCATTCATGTCGCCCATTAGAATTTTGATATCGCCAACTGAGGTCTCGTCCAGTGTTGATTGAAGTTGTCTGAAGGATTCCTCCTTCTTCTCTTGCTCTGCATTATTTGTAGGTGCATAGCATTGTGTGATTGTGACCTTCCTTCCATTTTGAGTTGAAACTCGCCGTCATGATCCTGCAGGAGGAGATTGGTTCCCACTGCATGAGAGCCTTCGATGTCCTTGGAGACATCATGATAGCCACTCCAAAACTCAGTGTGCTCGTGGTTGTCGTGTGGGTGACAATATCTGAGTAGATTATTGACCCTGCAGTTGACAGTTTGGAGAGTCCACTCCCATCCCAACTGCTTTCGCAAGTTCCATGCACTTCAATGTGATACCTCTTCACCTCGTTTGCAATCTGGGCTGCCTTGCTGGGTTCAAACATTGTTCGGACATTCTATATCCCCACGTTTACTTTTCCTTTTATCGAGAGAAGGGGAGACACTTCGGCCAATTGGCTTCCCGAAGGCTTTCACCAACTGGCGTCATTTCGCCTTTCCCATTCCAGCAAGGAATAATTTTATTATTTTTATATTTTGTTTGTGCTTTGAAGCTTCTTTAGCGGTTAGATTTGTTCTACGGGTAGGGTTTCTAGCCCTTTGCCCAACCTTCTCTCTTTACGTGGGCTTACGACAGGCTAGTAACTAGTTAACTAGTTAATCAGGCGAGGTCATAAAAATATGGTTAACTGTCCCACTTGTCTTGACAACACCTTAGACTTTGCATTTACAAATGAACCTGACATATATGAAGCCCGTGAACGGGCTCCACTGCAAAATTCCGACCACTGTATTGTTCATGTTTTGCCTAAAGTGTACGGAAAATTATACAAAAAAGATTTTGCATACCTTTCAAGGAAAGTTCAATATAGATGCTAGTCACAAGAAAATATATTACGTTTGAGAAGCATGCTTATAGAAACGGACTGGGATATATTTGCTGATGAAGTTTTAGACAACACTATTACCAATTTCACAAGCTATCTCAGATTCTGTCTCGATATCTGCTGCCCCAATGAAACAATTTACATGAGATTTGACAGACTTTCCTCTCCTCATCTCAAGAGGCTTCGGAGAGAAAAGGAAAGGTTGTTTAAGGCAAGAGATCACCCTGGCGTTAAAAGGCTTAACTGCCTAATTAAGTCTGAAATATAATTTCTGAATACTATGTACAACAAGAAGTTCTTATCGTGTAAGAACTCTTCCAATATATGGAAATTATTTAAAGAGCTTACTGGTAAAAAAACAGATGACAGCACAAACTCGTTTGGATGTCTGTGCGTTAAACAAGTCATTTATACGTCGGCAAGCTAATTTCACCCTTCCTAATGTGCAAAATCAAGTGGATAGCTGCTTTCCAGGTTTCAATACAAATGATGTATTTAAATGTCTAAAGTCTTTGAATCCCTCCCAAAGCTTAGGTCCTGATGGTGTTTCTAGTATCATATTTAGAAAATGTGCAGATATTTTGTGCCATCCACTTACAGATATCTTCAATGTATCGTTCTCTAAAAACATAATACCCACTGCTTGGAAGCAGATAAAAATTGTACCTGTGCCTAAGCCATCTTCTGGATCAGATGTTACTTTTTGACCCATCGCTATAACTTCCCCTTTTCTGAAGACAATGGAGAAATTACTTCTGCTTGTGATTGAGCCTTCATTGATGGCCTTCAGAGATCCAAAACAGTTTGCTTACAAACACCGGAGGAGTACTTTAGATGCAGCTACTGTCTTGCATCATAATATTGTTTCTAGTCTCGACAAAGGTGTTAAGTATGTCCGTTGTGCCTTTTTGGATTACTCATCAGCCTTTGACTCTGTTCCTAGACCACTTTTGTTAAATAAGCTTGCCATAGCTCACACTGAGCCATGGGTTACAAAATGGCTGCATTCTTATTTTTCTGAAAGGAAACAGTACACTATTCATAAAGGGATGCTCTCCACTTCATTGCTTACTGAAGCTGGTGTGCCTCAAGGTGCTGTACTTTCTCCTTTTCTGTTTTCGTTTTTTTGCACGGTTTGCCTCATTCTGTTGAAACTAATTTTATCAAGTATGCTGACGACCTGACGATTTCTATTCCAGTAAACTCTTCTTTGGATTGCTCGAAATTAAATGAATTCTTGTCTGAAGTTGGTAAATGGTCTGTCTCAAATGGTCTCAAACTAAACCCCTCTAAATGTCAGACCGTTAATTTTAGCCTCAGGCGTAAACAAGACTTATGTGAGCTGCTTAAATCTCATGACGCCTGCTGCATCAATGGTATTTCTGCAGAAAGTAAATCGAGTGTGAACTATCTTGGGTTGGGTTTTACTTCTGACCTTTGTTGGTCGTCCCATATTTTCTTGACTTGCAAAAAATCTTTCGTTTAACTTATTCCGTAAAGAAATTGAGGCTTTCTGGTATAACTCAACTGCTTCTTTTACAATTTATTAATTCCTGCATTTTACCTATTCTTCTATATTGTTCCCCATTAATCCTTCCTGGTCTTCTTAAAAAGGACTATTTATGTTGCGTAGGGCTTTGAAGACCGTCAGCAGGGTGAGTGGTGTGTCTCTGGCTCAACTGATTAACACTGTAGTTGATCGACATGTAAATTCCTACAAGCTACTAGCTACAGAAATTTTAACTGACAGTGAGCATCCACTTCATTTACAGGTCTCTTCATGTATCTCCTCACACGGAGGACAAGGAGAAACTACATAAGACTGTATGCTCGTACAGCTAAGTATAAGAATTCGACTGTACCTTACCTTGCACGTATATTTTGTGAGGAAAAAAGTGTTAGAACAGAAATCACACATCAACTTTGTGACAGTTAAAAATCTCATTTCAATAATTTAACTTACAATGCAAAATTTTCCCGTTTTTAATATTCTTCACATAAATTTTTATAATAAAATAATTGGAAAGGCTGCAAAGTAGTAGGTATATACAGATATATTTTGTTATTGCAGTATATATTACGCTGAGAATTCCAAATTGTACCACGAATTGTTTGGAATAAGGTGAATCATTATTATTATTATTATTATTAAAGGAAGGATAAGCATTAAGATATTTTGAAAACGAAGATTGATTGAAATGGAATCTGTGAGTCGAAGCGTCAAACTTTTTATTGGTGGTTTACAAGTGATTCCCAGTGTCAGTGTTATGATTTGTGCGGCAAATGATAACCAATTGAGCTATTTATGCTATTCGATTCTTCAAAACGTAGATTTCTTGACAGAAACCACTTCAACCGAAAGACGGAGAACTGATGCTTGTGTTCAAAAGATTCAGTAGCTCACCAGTCACTCGTCTGTCAAGGGAATTAGCGATTTTGAATCCCTCTCCCACTTTCTTTGGTTTTCTTTCTTAGTACTGACTAAAAGTAGTTGGTGTTTAGTCACTTTCAGCCGAACTGGCATTCTTTGACAGGCCTTATTTACTTTTAGGCAGTATTCACCACAGATTGCATTTGGAGAATCGTGGAAAATTTAGGGGCACTGGATAGCTTTTTCTTCAGAATAAGGGGCTCCTAAGCAGTACGCACTCATGACTTTGCAAGGATGGAACTCAGAACCTTCAGGTCACGTGGGGGAACGTGTTACCTATTTAGCCAACAGATCAGAATCCAACAGTTCTCAGTTCTCTACTCCCGTCAGTCCGCGATATAAAGTGATTATTCACCAAGGTCTTCAGTTGGCATCCCTTTGACGTTAATAAAAAAGTTCCTCATAAGTCTCAAACTAAATTACTGTTTAGTGGTTATTAATGACAGGATTCAAGATGGATATCCCAAAGTTCTAATGAGGAGCTGTGACCTGTGGGGGCAACCAGTCAGAAGGGAAGTGTATGCTAACTGATAATCCCTCCATATCGCTAGTAGATATAAGTAGGAGAACTGTCTGCAATCACCACGAGACCTGAATGTCGTGAGTTCGATTCCTGGCTGGTGGTGTCATGGTTCCGTACTACTGAGGAGTTCCACACTAGGATGGAACAGTTTTCCAGTGCTTTCACGTCTCCAATGGTTATCCAACTGTTGTCTGTCCATGATGAATATTACTTAAAAACAAAGTGGAGATTGTAAAGTCGATCTGCTTGCAGTTCCTAATTCACATTGCATGATTAGTGAACATTTGCCCAAACCTCCATCAATCGCCGGCGTGGTACACAAAGTCAGTAATAACTAGGTTACTCTGAAGGTCACAATAACAATGGTTGAAATACACAATTACTTTTCGCAATTTTATTTCATTACTTTCTCCAGTGGCCTTCAGAGGCACCCGTTATAACTGAGCTTGTAATAAAAAGCATAGATCAGCTTTTAGTCCGATTAAATAGTATGATCTAGTGCAAAATGACCTCAACTCTTAACTAACTACCAATCAGAATTTACGCTTACATAAACACTAAACAATAAAATGATATATGCATATATTTGTAAGTAACATCTCAGATAGTTCAAATTTTTATTGTGCTCCATTTTAGTGTGTATTGAATAAATAAGTAACTATATCACAGTTCAGCAGACTGATTGATATTGCCGGTATCAAACAATTGAAGGTTGTTGGGTAGAAAGGAGGACTGAACAAGTGAAAAGTTCCTAAACAAGAGGAAAAAAGATTTTTAAAATAAGATATATAAACAAATACGATAAACTATGTTGATCATTATAATTTACTAATTGTGAGGTAGATGTCAACGAAAATATGCCTTATGATAATTCATCATTGTTTCCAACAACTGGTAATTTTGAAATTAACTAGTCGACGAAAGGAGTCTCATAGGTGTCATCTATAAGATGACTGATCCACTTTGACTGTTAGTAGAAAGTTGATTGATGCTCCACCTCGACCGATAAGGTCTACAAGTATATTTTTCCTGTTATTCCCTGTTCAAAATGTTCTTTCTTATAGCTTCAAAATAACATGCTTCATTGTTGAATCTGAAAACTTTAGGCTCATACTTGGTGAAGATGTAATCATGCTTTCTTTTATAAATACCTTGTGTTAGTATACGCCTTTTGAATTGTTTTTATTTCTCATGGTAATGATAGGTATTGGTTGGTAAGAAAATTCAGGGTGTGCGTTTCGCCCTATTTTTGGACTCGTCAGCTGGATGTTACTACCTTTCAATGAGTGATGCTGTTCCCACATAGACCACCAAAGAGTGATCACTCTGTAATCATATTAACAAACTGTTAATTGAAACGTCACTATTGTTGGTGCAGAGTTCTTCAGTATATACGCACAGTTATAGTTATAGAAGTTATCAGAAAGAATACTGTTTACGCATTCAAATAACTTTTCAATGACTATCGAGATATCACTTAAATCGAAAGTTCAGTATTATTAGGTGATGTCCATTACGTAACTGCACCAAGTCTATGGTAATTATTCGGCCTTCTACGCTACTTCAACGTAATTGGCTTCTGGACTTTGGTCGGCCATTCTGTTTACACTACCCATCTTTATGTCCAATAGTGTGGCATCGTGGGCATTTTTGGCATTGGAACGGGTACGATTTCACGTGGTCCCAAGCGCCACAGTTCCAGCATGCTGCTGGCGGTTTCTGACGTATTGAGTCCAGCGTCAACGTTACTGGATGTGCCGCATGTACTTCTACTGTACTCTGACCGCTACTGACATTCTCATTGGCCGGAGATGTATCGATTACGGCAAGCAATTGCAACATTTTAAGCCGTTGCTTTATCATTTTCTCCAAGATCGATGAGTCTATTGCAAAATACACCCGTCACGTATTTGCTGTGACTGGTAGTACGACCTAACAGTCTACAAGGGATACGAACCTGTTGCGCAACGAATCGACTCTGACACAAATCAGAACGTCAATCACCACCAAAACAATGCCGTCGACGTGCAAAGACAAGAAGAGAAGACAGACCGTTGGCATAAAGATGTCACTGTCTCAACAACAGCCAATACAATTGACAGCAATGCTGAATATATACATTTCCAAATGACCTTGAAGACACTAAATCCACATATAGGTGAAAATAGTTAACGACCAATGAGAATTCAGACTTGAGAGTAGAGGGGAGGAAAACCAGTAATGGTGTTAAAACAGCCAAGTAGGTTATTTTAAGGCCATGGGGAAAACAACAGACAAAGGCTATGAAAACTCAGGGGTATATAGCATTATTCTTTCTAGGAAATATTCGTAATCAATAAACTTCGTATGGTCTTACACTAACAAAATTTCAAAAAGTGTTCTATTACTTGATTTCACTGAAAGGGATACAATTTTAACATACCATCTACAAAATTTCAAAGTCATACATTAAGCGCTAAAAGAAATTGAGGATTTGAAGCATAAGAAATTCTCTATGCACGACAAGTCAACCACTCGTAACTTCTTCAGTGAACGACATTGAAATACTAAACAGATTTAGATGAGGAAAGTAGAGTGCAGTACACTGCAAACAATCGAAAGTCTATCCGAGAGAAAACACAACTTTCAAATTATTTTTAAATCAGAAGAATTCTTTAAACTTTCATAATGGTGTTCCCTCTTTTGACTCGAAAGTCTAGTGGACAACAACACTCTGACATTGGAAACGATGGTCGCTGGCTTTGAGCCTCAGTGGGAATAATATCGCTCATTGGGGGGCAGTTGAATCTAGTTGACGAGTCTTAAATAGAGTGAAATATGCTTCCTGGGGTCTAATGTTAACCACTGTCTATCAATGATTGCAAACATGACTATCTTTGCACTTGAAAAGGTTCCTTGTTGAAGAGCGCTTCTGACAAAGAAACTGATGGTCCAGGACACCTCAGTTGATCGGTCTATACAGTGTAAACGTATGTATTATATTTTGTCGCCAGGTATATTGCATTCATGCAGAAGGGAGAATGATATTAATTATGTATTGGTTAACTATTTTAGAGCGGGCTGTCTTTTAATTTGTTAACCTTTGTATTGATTTCGATTTATGATAGTTTCAGCATAATCCACCGATTTTTAGTTACTTTATCTTTGTTCTGGTTGAGCATCAAGTGTGTTCAGTAATCCTCGAAACCTATGAAAACTTATTTGTGCTAGACAACTCATTGTACCTTAGAGTTTCGCTACAGGGGAAATGACCACTGTCTGACAGCATTTTGTAGTTAGCAATAATAGGTATAACATTGACATCGGAGTAGGACTTGGACACTGTGGTAGATTGTAATTCCATTTCAGTTTGTTTATTACATTTATGGAAAATTCTATTACCACTCTTTTCAAAAATAAGGAGAGAAAATTAGAACTATGTCAACTATGTTTAAAGGTTTGGAACTTACATTATACGACTATGGACAATGAATTATGTCCAAAACGTTATGCAATAAATAATACTGTTTCACTTTGTGAAATTTCTCATAAACAGACTAAAATGGAATAGTGATAATCCCTAACGATCATTTAGAGGTAAGTTTCAACACCTAAGTTTAATTATTTCCGGAAGGTCAGTTTCTATTGGTTGACAGAGACCTTAGATGAGGTCATTTGATCTAAAAACGCAATGTATGATATTTTAATTGGTTGATAATTATGGGGGTTTACGTAATGTCAGATTTTTGTTCATACTTTGAACACAAGGTCACCAGCGTACTGATCTTTGATTAGCCGTTAGAAATCACATAAATTTTCGTTGTGAAAATGCGACTCTAATAGTATCACTAATAATAATAATGCTAATAATAATAATAATAACAGTTATGGATCAAACTTACCTAAAATGTAGCATCATTTTTTATAATAAAAATGAAATAACTGGAAAATATTATATTGTCGCTGTTGTTGTTTGAAATAGTGTTCTGTTCACATTGAATCTTGTTGTTGCGAATTTGGCGCACTTTTGGGCTGTATAAAATAAAAGGGGAGGGGGAATGTGTAATCAGCACAAATGTTGGACTAAGATGTCTAGGTGAGAAGCTGAATTTCAGTTTGTAAAAATGAAGGATTTTAAGACTGTTATGAAGGCCAATCACCGGTTGACTGAATACTAATGAAATGTTTGCAGATCGTTGTAAAATAGTAAGTTATGCCAATATGATCTGTTAATTAAGGCGGTATTGGATGACGCTCTGGTGTTTGAAGTGGAGAGTACTGAGTTCGAGCCTCGTAGGGAACAACATCACTCAGTGGAGTGCATGTGCACCCAGCTGACGAGTCTCAAATAGGAAGAAAAACGCATCCTTGATTCGTCTGCTAGCCACAAAGATCACTACAATCTATTGAGTGAGGCGGTTGTTTGGCTCTAATTTTAACAAGATCATAATCATACCCATCAAAACTGACGATAGTGATGAATTTCAAGCCTTCTGTTGACAGTACTGATGTACCGAAAGTCGCACTGCTAGCTGGACAGCATGGGACTGCAGTATGATGTTTTCCATGGATCACTGGCAGTTCATGTTGATGCCACTAGAAAAAATTACCACTGAAAATAATATAGTCCTTCACCAGTAGTTCTCTGGTTGCAATTGTGTGATATTTTTTGTCCTGCGTTATCACATTCACTTTTTAATCCAAATTCTAAGAAATTCTTAGTGTGCAAAAGATCTTAAACATACATCCAATTGACTCTGTGACCACGCATAACTGATTCCTTTTCTCTTTCACATACCTCATAGAAAAAGCTTTCACGGTGTAGGGGAAGTTGAGAAGTACAAACTGCCCATACGCTTCCAGCAGTATACATAATCCATATGGTTGTCATCTACCCTCATTAACATTGTCCCCTCCACTGCCTTCACTTCCTGATCCCAATAGTATGTGTGTCAAAAATTAATCACCCTCTCTTTCTGTGATCAGTATCAACGATTGAGGTCATAGAAACTTCATTGGTACCCTCCTTAGACCTCTTCATAGATTTCATATTGGGGATTCCTACGTTCAAACTCTATGCTAAATCAGATAGGCGTCACTTGTCGAAACTCTAGAATCTCAAGTCACATATACATGCTGCTGTGCTTCTCAGACAAGCATATAGATGGACAAGTAGACCAAAATAGGTCTTCAAGCAGAAATACAATGGTTCTAACTATCACAGTTAATAAAATCATAGAAAAGTGAAAGTACATAGAAACGGAATGATATTTAGTTAAACAGAGCACATAAGAATGAAAAAAAAGTAAATAAAGGTTGAAAAATGTTTAAAATTCTGAAGACATTTGAAAGTAAACAAATCTGGGGGACTGTCATTGGTTGTGAACCATCGTAAAGAGTCCTCAATCGTGGGGTTTTAACGCCGTAAGAGCGTCATTCATTTACTAAATGTCCCACACTAACAATCAATAATTTCATAAATACCTGCCATATCTTGATCTCTATGTGGAATAATTCACTAAGACTTAAGTATGCAGTCAAACTATGTATCCCAGTTAATTGATCTCTGAGTTGACTGTTTGAACGTTGTACGCATCGATCAATTCACTTTCTATACTTGTATGAGCAGAAAACTGTGAATTTGTTTACGATATTCAAGAAACTGAATCACTCATGCTTGCAGATCCAACTAGCTGATGAGTAAAGGAAATTGAAATCCACGTGGCAACCTTGAGTGCACTAGTGAAGTAGGCGACAAGTCACACCTCATGATACTACTACCTAGCTGTACAAACATTTAGTCCTACTCCAAAGATATGGTCCCAATATGTAGATGATACATTCACAGTACTGAAATCAGAATACATCAATAGGCTGATGGCACATATAAATTCAGTAATGAATGCAATCGAATTTACCTGTGACTTAGAAAGTCAAGAAGGTGATATAGTAATGTTGGATTGCAAAATTAAACGAACACAAGACTGAAGTTTAGAGACTAGTGTTTATGAGAAACCTACCCATTCGAATCGCTACTTTGACTTCGAATCATCCCTCCCCATTTTAGTTAAAGTAGGCCTAGTTATATGCTTAAGTGATAGGTCGAAAAAGCTTACCAGTAGACCGGAAAATCTACGATAAGAACTTAGACACATCAAGAATACCTTGTATCTTTATAACTATACACCTAAATTTATAGTTAAATTCATAAGAAATAGAAAGATAAATATTAGCAACAGTAGTAGTAGTAATACAGGTGTTATTAATAACAATCCCACTACTAGTGGTAACAATAGCGACAGGGTTAAGAAGGAATTCAAAGCCTCTGCTGTGTTAACATACAACGAAGGCACCTCAGAAGCATTACGAAGAATTCTCAATAATTAAAGTGGCATTAAAGTGGTATTCAAACCAACAAACTCACTTAGAAACAAGCTTTGTAGGTTAAAGATCCTATCGATACAGTTAAGCAACATAATCTGGTTAACCTTGCAATGATTGCGAGGTCAAGTACATAGGTCAAAGCATTCGATCAGGATAGATTAGAATAACAGAGCACAAAATCTTAGCTAAATCAAGACTAGTAGATCCTAATAAGATAAGAAATATAGAGAAAAGCCTGACTATAGCTCTTCATGCGATGACACACAATCACACAACAGAGTGGGAGAGGGTGACAGTGTTGAAAGCTAACTTAGTTGGGTGGAGTGAGGGAGAGATTGATAACCTAATCATCATTGTCTATCGAATCAACACCAAATACATGCGGTAATAGGAATGATTCTGCACCAGTCCCAGATATATATATATATGGAAAATACCTCTGTCATCACTGAGAAGGAGAGAAAATTAGGACTGTATAAAGTCTGTCTCAAAGTTGTGGAATTACCTGCTGATATGAATATGGACAGTAAATTGTGTCCGAAATATTGTTATCCAATAAATGATACTATTCCTTCACTGTGTGACATTTCTAATAAACAAAGTAAAATGGAATTACATTCGACCACGGTGCCCGAGTTTTACTCTTATATTATTGTCTTTGTAGCATTTCTCGTATATGGTGCAATCACAGTGTTAGCAATCTTCACGTTAAGCTAAGGGTACTAGACAAGGTACTAGGATATGAGCTGGATATACCAAACCACCACCAACACTGACCTGCCACTCGAAGAGAAGTAAGCTTGTGTTGAAAGAAGGTTCATGGTGGTCAGACCAGTACATGAAATCCCTAAACATTGGTCTGTAGTGTGTTGAGAAGTGCAGCCTATTTGACTGGAGTCTCTAAGACAATAAGAATCAGAGGTTGAAGACTCTTGGTGTAATGATTGAAAATCAGTCATAACGATGTACATATATTCACTCTTTGACGTCTTCTAAACCTTGAATGTTCTGGTTAACCATAACTTGTAAATATCTTTTTCCTTCCCCATACACCTTTGTCTACCTTGACTTTAGTCTTTTCCTACCCACTTGCTCTTTGTATGCTACTGAACTGATGCTCTAAGGTGTGAGGTTATATGTTGATTTTGTCTGTCCATCTGTTATTTACACATTACTGAATGGTGTATAGAACCATTTTTATCATCTAAACGACAAATTAGAATAACTGGTAATAATATGTGGTGTGATGTTTGAAGCTGAAGCAGACCATCATATCAGCCACCTGTCAAAAAGAATTCAAACACCAAGTCAATCGTTTAAGTATCTAACCATACTGACTGACATGTAATCCTCATTGTCAGCAATGTGTACAGTTACCGAGTTGCATGCGAACTTTGTTACGTAACAGAGTTTTAAAATAACTTACGCAATCAACCAATGGTATCCTTTTGCATAACCTCTGAATTACTATGTTCCAGTGACTGAAATGTAACAGTCTGTTTATGCTGGTCATTTTCACGGGCAATCCATTCGTGCACTAAGGCTTCATTCGGTGTGATTCTTTCATCTGGATCCCATCTATATAAGACAAATACGTGGTAAGCAAATTATTTAATCATCTGCATAGATTTGTCAGACATAAATATATCAACAAGATTTCATTATGATTATTATGTAATTAAATTAATCTTGTTAGCAAAATCCGCAGATCAGTGTAAGTAGTTTGTCACCAATTATAATCTTTAGGATTATATTCCCTTAGTTCATAACACTATGTGGTTATGAACTAATGATCATGGCTATAGGGTGGTTTCCAGTGGAAACCGTCCTGACACTACACTTAGGCGGTTGAAAAAGTAATCAACCGTGAGAATTACCAACGTCGACCTTTCAATTTGAGCATCATTTGTAAGTTAGTCATTATGTTGAAAAACGTAGAGTGAATTTTATGAGTTATGAAACACTCACGGTTTACAGTTTGAGAGAGTTGTGAGGATTTGGAATATTTCAAGTTGTTATTCATCGTAGACTGACATCAGTTAGAGGAACAAAGGAAACCTGGGAGCACTGGACAGCTGCTTCTTCCTAGCATGGGACTCCTCAGCAATGCGCACCCACGACCCCGCCAGGGATAACAACTTGAAATATCCCAAATCCCCACAACTGCCTCAAACTTCAATTGAACTGGTGCTCATTGGTCACTAGCTTCGAGAGGTATTCCCGCAGTTCCAATGAGAAGTCGTGACCGGTGGGGGCAAAGCCTGATGGTCGTGAGGACAGTTACTCAACCGTGATATTGGGTGGCGGTTGCGCTATATCGCGAGCTAACAGAAGTTGGAAATATGGACCATTGGATTCCGCCGACCCAGTGGGTCAATAGGGACATGCGGGCCGCGGAACCTGGAGGTCACGGGTTCGATCCCTGGCGGGGTCGCGGATGCCCACTGCTGAGTCCCATACTAGCACGAGACACCTGTCCAGTGCTCCCAGGTTTCCTTTGTTCCTCTAAATGATGTCAATCTACGATGAATAACAACTTGAATTACTCACGATTTACATGTAGCCTGTGCCCATGTCTTTACCTGGAAAAACGACTGATGCCTTCATGGTCTTCAGTTTAATTTAGATCACAATTTGTTATAATTTGGAAACTATGTGCTATGGCTGCTAACGATGCATGGATATCGACTATCAACTACCAACACTGAACAAATTCCTAGTCGATTACCAACCCGACTAATTGACGAAGAAGACACAATCGAAGTGTAGAAACGTGTATTGGGGTCGAAAGGTCAAAGACAAGATCAAAGGAAAATGCAGCCAATATATATACAGTTCACTGTTTAAAATAATACTGATGATTGGTTAATCCACCGTCTGTTTGTCTATCTATCTAAATGCTGACGTGACATTTCGATTGGTCCCTCTCCAGATTAGTCTTTTCTCTCTATCCTAATACCACAATGGTCTTAAATTAGAGTAACTTTAAATGCCAGCGTAGCAACAATTAAAATAACCAATTAGGTTTCTTCATTTCTGCTGGAAAGGCAGATTTTCATATAAAAACGAAAAAATTGATTGATTATTTCACTTGTTGCTATGATGGCTTTCAAAGCCACTCTTAAATTACAGCCCTATTACAAAGTCCACCTGAAGGTTTTCAGGGATTTATTGATTTCAGGTTAGTATTCACCATAGACTGATATCAGTTGGAGAACCATTGAAAACTTGAGAGTATTGGACAGCTGTTTCGTCGTATTAAAAGAACTGGGAAGTACGCACCCTGAAGGTCGTGAGTTGGATCCGTGGCTGTATTGTGGCTCCGCGATGCCGAGAAATCCCACTCTAGGTTTCCAATGGCTCTTCAGTGATGAACAATACTCTTAACTAAAATGATACAGTCACTCATGGGAAGGATTGAGTAGATATGTCGTATTCAATTTTGAAGTAACTGATCAGTTATATGTAACGAAACTGCCTGAGATCCATTTTATAAATGCTTGTTTCGATTTCCCAATTCATCCACTGATACACTGGAACAAATCAAAAGATGAGGAAACTGAACAAGAGTCATTCTGTATTTTGATCGATGTTGAACACAGAGAATATGTGTATTCATAAGATTCTATGTTGCCTAGTCACTGATCACCTCTTCATGGAGTGCTTAAAAAGTAGGTTTGCACTGGAAAGATTTTCAAGGTGGCTAACATGAGTTAATGTTAGTTTAACCCATGTAAGTAAGAAAATGAAAGCCTTCCGATTACAGTTCACATGACAACTAATGTCAGTGGTTGGAGATTCCAGACAATGTGGATCAGAATTAATTTCACTCGTTGAATTTCCTCATTATTTTTTCCGTTTCACTTATCCTTAGATTACTTCCTTCTTCGTTTGTCTATATTTCGTCTTGGTGCTTTCTGTTGTGATATCTAGCAAATTGGATCATTATACGGTTCTACGTTGATGCTGACTGACTGACTGACTGGCGGCTGCCATAGCTTATCAGCATAGTTTATTAGTCATTACTTGTGGTGATATGAGCAGGTTTACTACTCCACTTAGGATAAAAGTCAGACCTTATGACTAATGCCAAAAGCGACGGCCAACAGGAGAATCTAGGAAGAGCATTTCCTATTATTTAGGACCCATCACATGAATTTTTCCGCATCTCTTGGAACACTATAGTGTTATCCAATAGACTACACACTCGCTTCACTCCCCTACTGTACAAACATTTCCAGTTCTTATTTATCGGTGTTTGTAATCCCCCACTGATCATTACACTACATTATATCAATAGGTTTCTATCAGTAAATAAACTGCTTGAGTTCATACCCTAATGTGATATTGTATTACATTACTGGTTTCTACTTTTCAAAAATCCCACATACCAACAGAGGTTAACGAATTCCGTCCAGCGTTTATCATCTGCAGAAAGTAAGTAGTGTCATATACACACTGATAAAATCATCAATTACATTAACAAGGACTCAACAACGCATAAAATTATTTGCAGACAAAATCTTTTCAAAATAATAAGCATACACAGCTTTACAACAACTTCACAGATAAACGACGAAAATTCCTTGATGTTGCTCATGAAGCCTCTTCAGCAGATACTTATCCAGTTCATCGTTAATAAAAATTAGCAAATGGATCATCCTGCCCTACATAATGATGATATCGCAAATCATGACAAGAATATTGAGACCATTTTGAAATGGAATGGCCTATAAAAGAACGAATTCTCTTCACTTCATATTATCCAAACAAAAGGACACAAAAGCCAAAGAAGACAAACCGAATATCATTTAGAAAATTAACTCCAATAATTGCGATCAACATTATATTGGACAAAGATGGTTGGCCTTTTTACCTTCGTTTATAAGAGCAATTGGCTATTAAACGTAACGATATTTCATAAGTCATTTCAATGGACGTGGATAAATATGGACATTCAATGAATATCAAAAAAGGTAGAAATCTCGAAAACAAGAAAGACAAAAAATATCAGAATTCCTAGTAGCTTAGCTTTCAGGTCAGTCAGCAATCAAAAGATGTACAGTCATAGACTCAGTCTAACAACCAGTAAAAAATGGCAACCAACAAGGTCATCAGGTCATCAGGCAGAGAAACAACCAATAGGAAAATCGAGCATTCGATGACACACCAATCAAAGGAAATAACCAGTCACAAAGTAGTTCATCAGGGCAGCCTCTTGAATCCCTAGCGGAGAGATACTGATAGGTCACTTCATGTTCAAATTAGTGCTGATGATGTTGTCTAGAAAGACAATGAAATCTCTGCGATTAAACCACCCAGCTCAGAGAACACAACATAGGAATGATCATCCACCTAAGTTGCAAATATTCTCCACCATATCACTTATACAGCTTGTTTACTAGTTCATTTGAAGGATACATGATAATATCATGTTAAGAAATGAATATTCATCTTCATTCACACGTTTTTAAAATAATTTTGGCGCTTACGTGAGACACTGACTCAACAGATTCAAGAATTTTGAATCCACCGTTTTGACTAGATCTTCAAGTGTTTCACTTCCAGGAATACGTTTACGACCTCGACTGTTGATCAAATGTCTTGGGGAATGTTTCGAATCTGTTATTTATAAAATTCATTGAAAAAAGTTATTTATAATTTGTAGAAAAAGATATGATTTGTTTGTTTGCAACATATTCACAAGTGTATTCCATTAGACTACAAATATATGACGGCAAAAACGTAGTCAGATGTCATTAGTTACTCTAGTTTTTGCGCATCGCTTTATTCACCGTTGAAAATAACGAAATGCTTACAGAGGACCACAGAGACTGAAATCTTTGTAAACGAGATAGACGAACAAGGTCATCAGAAAGAGAGAGAACCATAAAAAGGAGGATCAGTATACGAAACAGGCAAATACTGTGCAGCCCACGTGAACATTCGGCACAGCTGGATAGTTTTCCAACTGCCTGTGTGAAGTTTCAACATGGTTTCCGTGGGAAATCTCACCCCACAACCAAGATTACAAGCTGTGATCTCTGATAACAAAGTGTCATGAACTAACGACGTATACTACTGAATAACTTGAGTAATTAGATGAAGAATTCGTCTGTGTTATATGAATTGGTTCGAGTGCACCAATGATGAGCTCACTCGCCTCCAAGCAGGCGAAATGGTTGTCCAGTATTTAGACCACTCTGATCTGACTGGTGACTTTTACATATCAGTTCGAGTGTTTAGTTTCTAACCACTCAAGTAGTAGTGTAGTAGGCGTTGCTGATCAGAACGGATATAAGTAGTATGTGTTGGGAGGGTGGTAGAAATCATAGGGAATTACCAGGAATGGATAAGGATTCTGCCCAGAGAAACACAGGAGGCAACGCGGGTGTATAAAGTACAAGAGAGAAACGGAAGAGAAAATGAAACACCTTTTGCAAATGACTGTCTTACTGCGAGGTGTGCTACATTTAACGACTACTGTACCAGATGTCAATTACTTCATTCGTCTTTCTCCTCGTTTTCTTCAGTTGTTGTTGCTACTTCTGGACATGTTGTAGATTCCGTGGCCTACAGTGTTCGAGGCTGGGGACATCAATGTCTTCCCCACGGACTTCGAGTCGGTCACGGTGCTGGTGGGTGCCCGGGACAGGAGCGAAGGTTGTAGTGCTCGGTACGTTGCTCAGGGGCAGAGCGAAAGCCTCATATGCTGGGGTGGAACGTGAGGATGGGAAGGAGACTTGGCAGAGAATGGTTGGACGACTGGAGGCGGAGTTTGACAACCCAGCAGACAGTTTTGGAGCATGAAACTTCGAATTGACAAAGAACTGCTTGTGTTGGCTGGGAAGTTGACTGAATTACTTCGACGAGCACTTTCCGCTTTGGATGAGGACTCCTAGAGGCAATTGTTGGCTGTACAGTTCACCGAGAGTGTCCAGAATGCCATTCCTTCTTTCGTCTCTGTCTTCTCGTCTCCTTCAGTAGTAGTTACATTTAGAAGATCACATGTACGGTAGTCAGATTAAACATACAAGTTACGAGCTATAATTAAGACTTAATAAACTGCATTCGCTATCAAGAACTATACGGAATCGAAGAACTCTCATCTATCCTTGTGAAGCTGATGCACCGATGAAAAGAATCTAGATACGTCTGTGCAATACCACGTTTCTTGAAATTAATACCGTTTACCAAGTGTTAATGAACGTGTTTGAATACCTGAAGGGCTTATCTTATGGAGGCGTTCTTTTTATGTTGAGTCGCTGATTTTAGCAACAAGGCAGCAGTAGTCTTAACCATGAATTTTGATGTACATTTGTGTCTTTCTGTGGGGCATTTTTAAAAGGTACCCAATCGGTATATTCCCTGAAAAAGTCGATTGTTTTTAAGTAATTGATTTTCTTCAATGACCCAGAACAATAATTAGTAAACAATAATAATTGAAAAGTCAATCAAATCTAATGATAGCGACCGAAGTGCAATTTTCCGTTATATCATAAAAATAGCTACACTCATTGCTTCAGTTCAATAAGCATGTTTAAGCAAAAATCAAAGATGTAAAACCGAATATCTGATAAGAAGCGGCCTAATTGGAAACCATCATTTTGAGACATTAACCGCTAAAGAAGAAGTTTCTGCATTTCAGTTATTGTTTCATGCCACAGTGTGGTCAGGAAAAAGCTTATTGGACAATTTCATCACGCAGCTGACCAATCACAAATGGTGATCTCATTTTTGACCTATTGATTTCATATATTCATGAAAACTACTGTGTATAAATGGTGTATATTTGTCGAATAAAGTGTCTTCGTTACAGTTACAGCTTAGTCTTTGTTTATAGATATTTTCGTGGATCAGTGAATTAGAAGATAAAGAGGGATAACAGTTACTATTCATATCCACTCCAAGTCCCTTGTCGAAGAATTTAATAAACCAAGCTTCCTAGAAAAACTCCATCCGAAGGCAAAATATTCAGGAAAATGACTTAACTTCGGGTTATAAGACGAATCCCTGAAGTAACGCTTCTGCCCTCATAAGTTCTTCGGTTCTCCACATTCATGTAAACTACCTCCAGCTATGAAAACCTTCAAGAAATCACAAAATCTTATGCTGAATCATCTAAATTGAGGACTGAAGCCAGTGACTTTGAGAAGGTAGTCAGTGTTTTGAGCATTGTATGCCGAATAAAATTCTCTACCTTTTCAAGGTAAGATTCTGCGCACTAAACGAGAAGTGTACGTCAAATAACTCACCTTTGTCTGATGCCAGTGTAATGTTGACACAAATATAAATGATATCGTTTGCAAAATGTTTTGCTCTTTACCTGTAAAGTCAATACTTTACGGATTCGGACATCTGACAGACCTTTGTATGAAGAAAATGTTGCTTTCCTTTCATCACCTCCATCCAATAGCAATACAGTTTAATCAGTCAATCATGAGACATGAAGTCAAATGTCTAACCACGTTAAAAATTAATTTTCCTCAACAGGAAAGACTGATATCGTAAGTCTGGATACCCGCTGCATATGTGCAATTTTATTGACTGTTATGCTAAGCATTTCTCGCTGGTCTTGTAAAAGTTCCAAGAATTGTGGAAGTGGTCAGTTTATGAAGAGATGCAATTCAAAATGAAGTTAAATCAGACTGAGTTAGAATGGATTGCTGAACGGTGAATCCATGTGATCATCTGTGTAGACATTTGAAACGTGAAGCAATATGGGTCAGAATACAAAGTCAAGGATGACACTATTCCAGTATTATTCGTCGACAAGGAAATTAATGAAGTGGTCTCACACACCAAAAATGCACCTACCGAAAAATACTCTTCGCCTAGTGGCTTTTTCAAGAATTAATTCAGATGGTAGACCAAGTACCTCCATGATGCAAGCCAACTGTTCATTTTCATTTTCCCCGGGGAATAATGGACGACCTAAACAGATATCATTAGCAATATTATTAAATATCATCCGCAACATTAACACCACCAGACAATACATCAGAATAAAATGAATAAGAGCACATGCCTGATTTTAATATATTATTATTTGTATCTTAGGTTCCTAGTGGAAAACTTGAATTCCAATCGTAGACCAGGCCTAGCCTGGTGCATGATGTCCCCAAATAGTCTTCTCACTCTATGTCCAATACAATACAATACAATACAATACAATCCATATCCACTCACTTCTTATACACCCTTATTAGTTGAGCGACAGCTTCCTGCTTCGTTGTCAGGTCACAGTTCCTCTCTGCTTATTCTTATTATTCTGACTATCTCATCTGATGATGTATGTCTGCAGTTTGTTGCAAATGCTTTTCGTAAGGCACCAACTCTCTCAACCATCACATAGAATCACTGACTTACTTGACTGAGTTGACGTTGAAAAACCGGACATCGGTCACGCTTTATGCTGAGTGCAGTGCAGTAGATCTCCACACTGACTGCAGAATGATGATGGAAGACGTGTCTTGCTGTCTTTCCGATCCTGGCTGGTTTTACATCCTCATGTGTGCCTGTGCTGTCGAACTCCCGTATTTGAGACGATGCTGCCTCCAAGGTGTGAAGGTGTTGGGTGATAGGTATGCAGGTGTGGGGTGATAGGTAGGTAAGTAGGTAGGTAGGTGAGCGGTAGGCGGGTACACTGCACCGCACTGTACTGTTCTGTACTGGTTCATCTTCTACTTCACCATCACCGTCACCAACTTGCTCTACCTCCTCTACCAGCTTCCATGGGTCCATCGAGATCCATTCCTTGTCAATGTCCTTCACTACCTCCTCCCTAACACGTTATACAGGTTTCCTTCCACATAGTTTTCAAACATTTCCAGTGTCCTTCCACACAGATCTCATCTGGGATGTTGCTCAATATCTCCCATTTTGTCCTGATGACTGGCTGATGTGAAGATGTCCTTTGTAGTTTCATCCTTCAGTTCAGTTCCTGTTCTCCGTGTTCAACTATGGTTCAACTGTAGTATATCACCAACTTCTATGGAGGCATTCAACTGGATTTCGAAGTTAGGCTCCTCACACTAGATAGTCACTGGTGTCAATCTTCATGTGCTCCTCTTCTTCATCTGATCTTCTGTACAGTAGGCTGGCTGCGTCACCACTCTCTTCAAATTGAGATGAAGTCGATGTTACTTTTTGCATAGTGTGTCCATCTGGTGAAGTCAAATCCGTGTCGCTCGCTTTGTGAATATTCTTGTGTTTGTACACACTGTCTCCAATCATCAAATCATTGAAGGTGTAGAAGTCTGTAAACACTCCTCCATTCTCATTCATTTCACCAAGTGCCTCTCGACCCGTGATCAGTTCTCTACCAGTGTTGTCTGCTTCCAGTTTGGCATTCATGTCACTCCACCCATGAGAATGAATTTGATGTCACCAACTGGAATGCAGTCTCGTTCAGTACTGCTTGCAGTTGTCTGAACGATTCCTCCTTCTTCTCTCGATCAACACTACTTGTATGTGTGTAGTGTAGTGTAGCGTGACATTGTATGATTGTGACTTTCCTTCCATTTTGAGTTGAATCTTGCTGTCATGATCCTGCAGCAGGAGATTGTTTCCCACTGCACTGCATGAGAGTGAGCCTTAGATGCTGTTGAAGGGGACATCATGGTAGCCACTCCAAAACTCAGTGTGTTCATGGTTGTAATCTGGGTGACAATATTGGAGTAGATTATTCATCCCCTTGCAGTTGACAGATGGGAGAGTCCACTCGCATCCCATCTGCTTTCACAGATTCCTTACCTACCACTTCTTTGTTATACCTTCCCATCTCTTTCGCAATCTGGGTAGCTTTGCCAGCCAGCTTCAAACATTGTTCGGACATTCTATGTCATCACGTTTACTTTCGCTTTCATTGAGGGAAGAGGAGACACATCGGCCAATTGCCTTCCTACTGGCCTTCACCAATCGGCGTCATTTCGTCTCTCCGATTCCAGCTAGGAATAAGTTTACTTTTATTTTTAGTATTTTCTTTGTGCTTTGAAGCTTGTTTAGAGATTGGATTGATTTTCCGGGATAGGGTTGCTAGCCCTATGCCCAACCTTCCCTCTTTATCCGTGCTTAGAACCAGCTAGTAACTAATGAACTATTAAACTAGGCATGGTTGCCTCGGGGTATCCAGATACCAATTTTGATCTATTTGTGAAGTAGTGGTTGCATATAACTTCAGAGTCCTGACAAATATTATGCAGGTTAGCATTTTTCCGGGTAACAGCATAAAGTATCCAGCTATGAAGTGCAGTGAATCAATCAGTTTTCATTGGCTGTTCAATGTCAAGTGTTGGATCACTCGCTTGACTAATCACGTTCTAGTGTCATAAAGCCAAAGATACAACGGTGAACTAATATGTTTTTAGGGTGCATATTAACTGATGAAAAATATCAATATGTTTCAATCAATAACTCTTATCAGACTGTGGTCTGGGAAACGAGAAATGGAATGGAAGTCGTATGAGAAACATGAAGATAATTGAAAATGGGGATGTGTTGATATGAGTTGAAATCAGCAATTGCAGAAATTCTAACAAATTTATTAGCATTAAAGATTAATAACGTTCATGTTACGCCTACGAACTGGATTGTGTAAGAAAGTATGGAGTGATCATAGATGATGAATGACAAATTGTCTCTAGATACACCAATGAGTTCTTATATCTTGCATTACTAGAGCTTCAGCGATGCAAAACATACACTTCTTCATACCCTGCGGAAGATTATATTGCATTTCGTTGACCCATCTGGGTTCACCTTTGCGAGAATATCCTGGAAGGCATCAGTGTCGATGCTGGACAATCAGCCTCTGCGTACCTCCTATGTACAAAGCTTCATCGGAGCCAACGAATGAATATATACGTATGGAAGTGGTTAGAAGGGATAGTTTGTGCTTCGCATAAGTGTTTATCATTGGCGACTAGTGTATGTGATTTCCAGAGTGACTTCGTCGAATATTCTTTCGACAGCCTTCATAAGTCTGCGTTTCAGTATATCATCTGTAACATCTCCATTGAGTTATTGACTCGAAATTAACTTTTCTTTCCCTACAATGATGAGAGACTGATAGGCAGCATTTTGATGTGGTTTTTTTTATCTATAAATCTCTCTGACTATCCATTTCTGATGAATATCAATCTTTGAAGTAAAATTTTGTCTGTAAAACTGTCAAGAGTACAAATTTTCCAGAGTAGATAGAAAAATCAATGAATTGCATCTCAAGCGTCAAAGCTCATAACTTTTCCATTCCATATACACCTTCTACAAATTTGTTCGCTAAACTCCGTTATCGATAGCGTAATTAGAAGACGAAGTTTATCTGAGCAATGTGATGTATTTGCGCAATACATTTCGAACAATCTGATCACACATCTACTTATCAAGTCAATATATAATAAACCGAGGACTGGGGGGGGGGGGGGGAGGGGAGGACAAATACAACGATTAGCACAATAGAGGATAAAAATTGAGAAAGATGAGGACAAACAGGAAGTGACGGTAAGTTTACAAAAAGCCTACATGGACAGGACAACGCCTGAATTTTCACAGTTTTTTGTCCAATACAATACAAGTGAGGTCTAGTAAAATGCCTGTTTAATAGTTAGGATCTATCGTATTAGTACACCAGATGCGATGGATGAATACATCAAATTACTGACAAAAACAGTTATGGAAAATGGATATCCGACGAAGTTTATAAACCGTTGTAGAGGTTAAGTAGCGCCAAAGCCAACTCTATACACGGTCCTTAAGAAAAATGTCCATATCACTCTATCATACAGAAGGGAGCTAAATAATATCGTTTTAAGACGTAGGCTGACATAAGCCATTAAGAAAACATATTACACAGCTAATAGTATCATTGTGGAGAAAGCAAAACACATGCTTCACCAAAAATCTAAACACTGCATCAGTGACTACATCACATCCCAGTGTGTTTACCAATTTACTTGTGTATGTGGTCACACATACAGAGGGAGGAGTAATCGATTCATGCAGTTGAGGATGGGAGAACATGTACTTAAATGGTTTCAAAAACAAATGGAGTGTGAAACAATGATAAATGTTGGTGGGAGACGACCCTCTTCATCTATGGCTAATCATATCATAGAAATAGGTCACGAAGTTAATGTTCAAACAGCTTTCAAAGTTTGATATAGAAACAGTCAGGAACGTATTCTGAGATTTGTGGAAGCCGTAGCCATACACGAATTTAAACTACCTTTATGTGTACAAAAACAGTTTGTTCTTACACTACACCTACCTTGGTAGACTTTTTTTCTTACCAAGATTAGGATCAACTATGTCACTTCCTGTTTGTCCTAATCTTTCTCAATTTTTATCCTCTATTGTGCTAATTGTTGTATTTGTCCTCCCCTCCCCCCCCCCCCCCAGTCCTCGGTTTATTATATATTGACTTGATAAGTAGATGTGTGATCAGATTGTTCGAAATGTATTGCGCAAATACATCACATTGCTCAGATAAACTTCGTCTTCTAATTACGCTATCGAAATTCATAAAAGGGACTAACTGTTTCAAACTCCGTTTTCTTTTATAACTCAAAGAGAATTGTGTATTAACTAAAAGTGAATAATGTGAACCTACGATGAGTATTATCAGCAGTATTATTTTATTTATTTCAAAATTCATACTACTTATTACTTAATTGGTAACGTTGATGTATAGTTCGAATTAAGACCTTTTGAATGACCCCTCAATCATCTTTATACGATCTATAGTTCTGAAATAATTGTATGTTGAAGGGATCCAACCGTTGTGCATTATCCTACATTTTCTGCCTGAATCTGGTTTTTCATTTTTATAAATTATGGTCCGTTGTGGTCAAGAAATTTGGTTGTATATACAAGTGAATCAAACTTCTTAAAATATACTCTCAGTAAGCATTAGACTTTGCTCTCTGTTGAAAGTGGTTGACAGGACCGAGTTGGATGACTGATGCGTGAATGAATTTAGCATATGTGACTAGGCCAATTACATCCAAGTCCGTTGTTAAGACGAAATCGGGAGGATCAACTAGGCAAGGATATAACAGGAATACTTCAATCGTTGAAAAATATGCATCATAAGTTTTATCTATTGAAAGCTTACCTGTATACAATTCAGGTAAAATGCATCCTAAACTCCACATATCGATTGGTGGACCATAAGGTATTCCTAAAATTATTTCTGGTGCTCTATAGAAACGTGACTGAATATATGTGTAAGCTGTTATGAGAAGCAAAAAAGAAATATGAATTTTAATATAAAACAATATAAAGAGTCTATCAATGAATCGTCATACATTATGGTTGATTTGAAAGCCATTTACAAAAACACCTTACTGACTATCTGAGATTGGATTGGCCAGGGCAAACCAGAATTCGATTGGCTAATAAACAATCCAAATTGACTTTTGATTGGCCAATTAGAAATGGCAAGATTTTGCGTGATATATGTTCAGTCTCATATTTTGTGAAAACATGCCACAACTTCAACTGGCGTTGATTGTGAGATATTTCAGGCACAAGAGAGTGTTTGTTTGGTTTTTAAAAATTAATTTAATTTACAGTCGACATGTGCAGTGCTACCCATTACAACACTGAAAGTATTAAATTTTTTAGGGGAAAAGTGACTAGTTAATTTGATTATGATCACTTTCTACTGGTCAGTTTAATTACTCTCGAATGAAGTAATCTTCACAAACTTCACCTGACATTCCAATAAAACGGTGAAACACACAATTTCTCAGAAGATCCTCCAGAAAATCCTGTTAAATTAAATTCAAATGGTATGTAACTAAGACCTTCTTAGCCTACTATCAAAAACCGTAATTTTAGGGATTCTCCTTATGTGGACTTGACAGGTGCAAAGGTCAGTCACTAATTATTCTTTTATGTAGGTTGCTGATGAATGCGAGACCAAGAATGAACACAAAAGTAGATGGGAATAGATAATTTGATATATCGTGCCAAAATACCACTGTTTTCCGAATAACGAGCTAGAGAAGCGCATACAAGCAATGTATCGTATTGTGACAACGTGCTGAATGGCATGGGTGCCTGGCCCAGTGTCTTTGGCTTAGTGAACCCGTTGAAACACTGGAGGTCAGCATCAACGTTGAATCTCGTCGAAACCTGGGCTACATGCCGTCTTCATTAACTCCAGAGGTGACAGTAAATTTTGGTTGTGGCTGTTCCACAGAATGTAGTTTAAGAGCCTAGTTATCCACAAAAGTTGCCACACGAACTGCATATTTTCACTACTGGCATGAAAACTATGAAATAACCGTTATATCTCAAGGCCAGCCTGCCGTCGGTGGACAATGTTGTTCGAAAATATTCATTGGGAACATTCAGTGGCTGTAGCGTGACAGCACTTACCATATCAACGACCATTCGCTTGAAAGTGAGGCAGTTTACCGAAAACTTGCATGACTTTCTAACCTCAAACTACTAACACAGAATTATTGAAACCTAATGCACAAAGAGGTCCACAGTGTTTGGTTTATTAATATTAATTGTCCCTAGGGTTCCTAGTGAAACATAAAGCTTCAGTAACACATCACCATTTCACTCTCTCCTCTCCAGTCTTTCCAACCTGCCTCCAACACTACCCACAACCTTTCATTTACTCCTCACATCATCTCCTACATATCACCCCCAAAACTCATCGTTTCACATTCGTATTCCAATCGAAGACCTGGCTTGGCCTGGTGCATGATGTCCCCAAATAGTCTTCTCACTCTATGTCCAATCCCATCCATATCCACTCACTTCTTATACACCCTTATTAGTTGAGTGACAGCTTCCTGCTTCGTTGTCAGGTCACAGTTCCTCTCTGCTTATTCTTATTATTCTGACTATCTCATCTGATGATGTATGTCTGCAGTTTGTTGCAAATGCTTTTCGTAAGGCACCAACTCTCTCAACCATCACATAGAATCACTGACTTACTTGACTGAGTTGACGTTGAAAAACCGGACATCGGTCACGCTTTATGCTGAGTGCAGTGCAGTAGATCTCCACACTGATTTTGGATTGATGGGGGAAGGCATGTCTTTCTGTCTTTCCGATCCTGGCTGGTTTTACATCCTCATGTGTGCCTGTGCCGCCGAACTCCCGTATTTGAGACGATACTGCCTCCTAGGTGTGCAGGTGTTGGGTGATAGGTAGGTAGGTAGGTAGGTATGGGGTGGTAGGTAGGTAGGTGTGGGGTGGTAGGTAGGTAGGTAGGTAGGTAGGTGTGGGGTGGTAGGTAGGTAGGTGTGGGGTGGTAGCTAGGTAGGTAGGTAGGTAGGTAGGTAGGTGGGTAGGTGAATGAGGCAACTGACTTCAGATTTCTCCCATTCATGGTGATTGGTGCTTGTTGTTGTTGTTGATGTTGATGCTGTTGTTGGTTGGATATCTTCATCACCTCTGCCTCCTCTACGCTCACCTGAAGTAAGTCTCGTCTTCCTTCTCTGCTCTGCTCTGCCTCACCTGTTCAGCCAATTTGTTTGCTTCTGCCTGTAGATCTTCCAGTTTGTGGGATATTATACATGAATCTTCGGCGAGAAGCAAATCGTGTAGGGGCCTTTCACCAGTCAAACAGTGCATGCACACCTTCTTCCTCGTCACGGTTTCTTGCATGATCCAGTCCAGTCGACCACAATCAGGAAGATGGTGGGTGATAGTAGGTGGCAACATTGTCTCACTTGTCAAACTTTCTTCATTTCAAAGATATCACTGAGTCTTCCATTGTGAACCACTTGGCATGTGGCATCGTCATATGGCATGTGGTTGTTGTTGAATGAGGTTGATAAATGTTTGTTGCACTCGAACCGTAGTGTTGAAGCAATTTTCAAATTACGTTTGGATAAACAACTTTATTTGCTTTAATGGTCAATGTTCTAACTACTAGTAGCATTATTGGTTGAAGGTTATGCGAGTTCGGTCGCATTCAGTTTCGGTGAATTGCGTGAGCTACCTGAAACTCGGTTTTATTAGCTCAACGGTTTGAGCTCTAGAATGTAGTTTATTCAGTAAACACAATAGGCGACGCCAAACTTAGAAATCAAAATTTTAAGTCATGCATTACTGAAGCACCCTGGTATTCCGGTTGTCCAGTTAAAATACTTTATTTCATCCATTTTTAGCGTCTTCACATGTACATGAAAGTAATATATAAGTGTTACATTTTCGCAGGATAAAAGTGGTTCTCACAGTCATAGACCAGTTTCAGTTTTCTGATTTTTACGTGGTTTGTTGAATTGTAGGACAACAGGGTTGGGTGAAAAGTGAGACGTTGTTCATGGGCAGATTGGGTAATAATAATAACAATAATAATGATAATAATAACAATATAATTGGCTTTGTTTTGAAAGCTATTTAGGGAATACCCTGCCCAATTGTCAGCCTGTCATATAGCATCAGTTGGACACAGACAGTCCATATGTATACGTAGCAGAATGAGATAAGTAGAAACCGCATACATAAAAGTTAAGAGTATTCACCACATCTACAACATTCTTGAAAATTCGGAGTTAACTTAGGTAGACGATGACATTAGCAATTACATTCATAAGGAATAAGTAAATAAATAACACCAAGCTGTGTACTCATTAATTACTTTGCTTTCAAAAACAAAACACGACCAGTTAGTTTATTTCTAATACTTTCTTAATCGCACAGCAAACTAGCTAAATAAGGAAAGTATAGTAGAGTTTTCATATTTAATAGTACGTGCATAATGTCCTACATAATTGCTCCTTGTCTTTCCAGATGACTGACACACACAGAGAGCTATAAATGAACAGCATGTTGGACATCTGATAAAATAACTCCTGTCAGATGTTTACATGAGTTAAGATGTTTGTGTACAGCAGTTTGAATTACAAGGATGAGAGGTATACCACTGGTTCTGCTGACAGTCTTCAAAGTTCCACCCAATGTAGCATAGTCTTTTTCAGCAACATGGGGAAGAATAAAGGAGGAGAATATGCAATATGTAGATCACAACACACAAAATGAGAGGCTGAGTTATACCAGATAAATCCAGCTTCGTAATATAGGAAGGTAGGGGGAAAATTCATTTGGATATGGGAGGACAAGGAGAGGTTCGAAAAAATGCACACGCCGAGATAAACCACACTTGTAACATTCTTCAACTCACAGCCATCAGTTAAACAGTAATGATGAGACGTTTTCAGTCTACATAGGTTATGTTCGCATGTGAAACTAAAGTTTATAGTCAGACATTGTGAAGCATTAGGCAAAGGACTATTCGGAGGAGGATCATCGTCCAACGGTAGATAGGAAATCACTCATTTGGGAATAATCTGTTAAAAGGAAGACAGGTCAGATATGGAAACTGTCAGGTCATCAGCATATTTGATAAAATTGATGCTAGCTGAAGATGGTAAGCCATGCATATTTAGAGAGAAAAGGCAGAAAGAAAGAACACCACCATGAAGAAGATCAGTCTGAGCAAGCAATGAGGTAGAGTGGTGCTTTCTGTGAACACTATATTGTTTCTTTTCAGAGAGATAGGAATACAGCCAGCTGATTATCTACGACTTAGTATTTATCGTGGCTAGCTTGTTCAGTATAAGAGGTCCTGAGAGAGAATCAAATTCTGAAGCCACGAAGCTAAGAGGCACAGCATCTTGGTGCCATTGAATGACCGTTAGTTGGTTGGAAGGAATCAGCAAGAAGCCCTGGACGTAGGTTTTGGGTTTATTGGCACTTTGCAGCTCTCTACTGACCAATCAATATATTTAGTTCAGTCCTTTAGGAGGTCAGCCGCAGCCGGAATAGCTCAGTGGTAAAGTCGCTAACTCTTACAGTGGGTTACATGAGTTCGAATCGCAGAGCAATCATTGCTTGTAGGTACGCCTTGCTGATGAGTTCCAATAAGCCCGGAATCTGCGGCCAGTGCTTCCTTCGAACTGCCTCCAACCAGCTAGTAGTTTGAGTATGCTAGCATATTTATGCATCCTCTTGAAAAAGATAGTAAGCCATTCAGTATTTATTCGCTAAGTCCTTTAAAACTTTATTGAGATTTTGAGGTTGGTTATCCCATAAGGTGAATAAATCAATAGATTCGTTTGAATGAGTCGTTATGCCTAGATGTCATGTGGTCATGCAGTCAAATAATAAGGCAGACGAACATAGAGAACATTGAACTCATCAGATGATATTACACTTCGACAAGCTATACCACGGATATTTTCTTCTAGTTAACATTTAACTCTTAGCACTTCTTTTGCGTGTTGCAATTCCTTGTTTATATTCTTGCTCTGACTAGTCAGTTTTCTAGCCCCATCAGTTTGACTAATCCTGTCTTAACTGGTGTTCGATGGGATGATTTGAAGTCTAGATACCTGTTGGAATGTGTTGGTTTTCTGTAGACAATATTGTCCAAGCCACCATCTGTTCTTCGTTTTATTCTGCAATCCAACATGGATAATTCTCCTTGTTTATTTTCTACCTCGTAAGCGAATCGGATTGCGTTTACTACTGAGTTTATATGCATGAGGAAATTGTCGATATGCTCCGATTTGAACACAGTAAATGTGTCATCCACATATCGCCACCATATTTTCGATGTAGGACTAAACGTCTGTAGTGCCATGTTTTCCCAACTATCCATAAATATATCTGCTACTACTGGGGATATTGGCGATCCCACTGCTACCCATTCTGTTTGTCGCAATATTTTGTCGTGCAACTTGAAGACTGTGGAGGTCAGGCATAACTGTATGTCTAATATAATCTCATCAACAGATATCTTAGTTCTGTGAGTAAGTTCTGAGTCAATATTTAGTTAACTTCTGACTGCCTCCAGTCCCATATTGGTTGGTATTTTAGTATACAGACTAATTACATCGAAGCTAACCGTTTTCTCATCCTCTTCTATGTGTAGGTCATTAAGCCTAAGTTTTAATTCGTAAGAGTTTACTAGTCTGGAATTTGAACGGTTCCCAATAGGGCATAATATCGAAGCTAAGTACTTTGCTAGTTCATATGTTGGGGTATTTCTGAAGTCATCTATGGGTCTAATGGGATAACCTGGTTTATGAACCTTAATAGTGCCATAAATTCTGCTATGATTATTATTTTAAGGCATTAAATTAAACTGTTCAGAATCACCTAGAGATGACTTCAGTCGGCGTATCAGATAGGCTGTAGATTTCCTGATTTTATTCATGACCGTGTCTAAAGGCTTCTTCATTTCTTCATATGGTCCTGTTTGGATATGTTCGTCAATTTTGTTGAAGTAATCCAATTTGTCCATAACTACTGTTGAATTGCCTTTATCAGACTTGACAATTACCATATTATTGTCATTCCGTAGACTATTCAGAGCTGAATTTTCAAGTTTTGTTAAGTTCCGCTGTCGTTTCTTTTGTCTCTTCAATGTTAACGCACACTGTGCTCTAACCTGTTCAGCTGTTGCTGTATCCAATGAGCCTAACGCTACTTCTGTGCTAGGTGTGATATACCAAACATGTAAGTCTCTTGCGATGTTCAGCAACTGACCTAATTAGAACTGTCCAGTTCTACTGTTACTACTTTCTGCCTACCGCATTTGTGACAACGGTGAAAGGCCATGGGCAATAACAACAGATATTCTTTTTACCTTCTTCCACATTATCATGCTGATTATCAAGCAACTAACTGGAAAAGACGGACATTACGGAACATCAAATACACTCGTCCGTTCTGCTCTGCTCACCTTCGTCTTATGTCTTCTCATAGTATGTCAGCTTTACTGTACTTCCTGGCTAAATAATCCCGAAGTATGATTTTTTTTTAAATCTGCTCATTTTGCCAATTCTAAGTTTATACACCCGACTGAAGACTAAAATCTTGGCAGGAAAAGACTTCAGTTTAGTCAGGGAAGCTATCAAAGCTGATCCTGAGATCCAGTTTGCAATCAGTAGTTATGAAAGTATAGATGTCGTATACTGTGGGGTATATACTACTGGTAAGATTCCTGTTAAGTAGTGTATATTGTATACATACCGCGGTGTCTTCAGCGAAAGTTAAAACGGCACGTGGTCGACTGGAGAGTGCAGTGAAATATAGAAAACAAGAAAGTGGCATAGAAGTTTAAGAGAATTTCAGTCTCAAGGCGAACGTGAATGATCTCTGCAGAAAGATTTCCTTATGGATAATCATTGAGTCAATTAGTTGAGTGCAAGTATGAACTGAGGGCTGACTAAATTCAGTACCATGAGGCTTGATGATGCAACCTTTATGATGGAATTCCAAAACTCAGACAGTAGCAGACAATTTGCATACCAGTTATAGAGAGTATTCCTCTCGGTAATGTCATCAGTTTACAATATATTTCATGATGAATTAGATTGTCGTATGAAATGCTTCCACTTATCAATTTCGAAACATTGTTCGTTTACTCTATATTTGATCAACTGTCTCTTGAATATTTATCTATACAAGGTTTCGATATGACATTTGTGCCCTTGTCACTAACCAATCAAAACATACTTGGTCGGTTAGTGTGAGTCAAACATATACAGTCTACCAATCAGAATGAAGGCGTGCAGAGTTGACCAATCAGATTTTACCTTGGAGAGATAGTCCACATGTTTCACAATTTTCAAGATTTAAGCTTTCACTCGGGCACTGACTAACACATATCCATGAAATCCTGATAGTCAATATTTTCGGGTCTCAGGATGGATTGAAAGAGCAAAAGGTAAGTGAATCTCTATACGGTGAAATACTACTCGGGTTTCGTAAATTGAAAAATGAGATAACTACTAAGTAACTAAATGTTAATTAAGAAGACAAGTTAACAGATACTCACTTTTCTGGTGGACAAAACAACTTGAACCGAAATCAATAACTTTCAGTTCAGAAGGGTTGTTCAAACCGACAAGAATGTTCTCCTATTTTATGTAATGAAAAAACAATAAATAAGGTCAAAGCAGGAGCAATGTTGGGTTAGTAGGCAGTGAAACGCTTCCCCTCCCGTTCTCTTTGGAATATATTTCTGTATGAAACAGTATTACTAGAAAGTATTAGTATTTTACGAACCATAATTGCCTAAAGTATGCTGAGATGAAATCGAAAGGGTAGTCAACAAACATCTACTTATCTAGTATTCTTGTCATATTGTGAAAAAACTTTGTGCCAAAAACTAGCAACCTAAAGTAGATCTTATCACTGTAAATGCCTATGGAGCTCTCTGGAAGAATGCTATGAAATCTTTAATGCCGAGCTGTAGTTGGTGTTGAATACCTAAAATAATATTACTGCTAGTCAGGATAACAGAAAGTTGATATAATTACTCACAAGTAACCTTTATTTAAAACACTTAACACGGTTTCCTATGATTGGCTGTCTGTTTTAGTCTGTATATCTACTGTTGCCTGATTGGTTGAGGTTATGAGTTGACCAACAGACATGTCGAACTTAACCTTTTTTCTAATGTTGTTTATAGTTTGGCTATTTTGCATTTGTGCAGTCTGGATATGAGTTTGTTATGTTAATAATAATTGCTATTATATTCAGAACCACTTTTTATTAACAAAAAACAAAAAAGTCTTCTAGCTTTAAGGGTTTTTCTGGTGCCTATAACCAGGTGAAACCATGAAGTTACAAGAAATGAAAAAGCGAAGTTTCACAGCACATATACATGGAAGATATTAATGCGGTTGAGAAGAAGTGACCATCACTGAATGCACAAATGACCTTGAATAGCCAACCATATCGGATGCTTATACCATTTTCGACAACCTAGCCTGGTTAACTAGTTCACTAGTTACTAGCCTGTCCTAAGACCGCGTAAAGAGGGAAGGTTGGGCATAGGGCTAGAAACCCTACCCCGTAAAACAAATCTAACCGCTAAACAAACTTCAAAGCACAAACGAAATATAAAAAATAATAACAAAATTATTCCTCGTTCGAATCGAGAGGCGAAATAACGCCAGTTGGTGAAAACCTGCTTTCGGGAAGCCAATTGGCCGATGTGTCTTCTCTCGATGAAAGCGAAAGTAAACGTGGGGACATGGAATGTCCGTACGATGTTTGAACCCAGCAAGGTAGCCCTGATTGCAAACGAGGTGAAGAGGTATCACACTGAAGTGCATGGAATTTGCGAAAGCAGATGGAATGGGAGTGGACTCTCCACTCGGTGAGGTGATGAACGAGAATAGAGAATTGTTTGCAGAATTCTGTGGATTCAACGATTTGGTGATTGGAGGATATCCGCAAAGCGACATGGTTTTGATTTCACCAGATGGACACACTAAAAATCAGATCGACTCCATCTCAATGTGAAGGAGGTGGAGATGCAGTCAGCCTACTTGACACAAGGTCAAGAAGAGGAGCAGATGAAGGTTCACACCACTCACTATCTAGTGCAACGGACCTAACTTCCAAATCAAGTTGAAAGCCTTCAAGGAAGCTGGTGATAGACCGCAGTTCATGTACAATACTCGGAAACTGAAAGACAAAACTACGAAGGAAATCTTCACGTCAGGCAGCCATCAAGACAAAATGGGAGATATCGAGGAACATTCCTGAAGAAACCTGTGTGGAAGAACACTGGAAGTCTTTGAAAGAGATGTGGAAAGAAACCTGCACAGCCGTATTAGGAAGGAAGAAGAAAGAAGATAAGGAATGGATCTAGACGGATATATGGAAGCTGATAGAGGAGAGGGGAGGAGGATGGTGAAACAGAAGATAAACCAGTGCAAGGATGAACGACGAGAAGAGGAACTGAGTACAATGAATAAAACACTGCAGTGGACAAAGAAGTGAATAAGAGTGTGCAGAAAGACAAAAGACACTTCTACGAAACACTGGCAGGTGAAGCAGAACAGGCTGTCGGCTGGCTGGTAGGAGAGACAGAGACCTGACAACATTATATCAAATAACCAGGTTACTATCTGTTATGGAAGAGACCAACGAAGACGAAACCAATAAAAGATGATGACGGAAATTTAATTACAAAAGAAGAGAAACAAAGGAAACGATGGGCCAACCACTTGAAGAAGCTCTTGAATCGACCACCACCTGCACTTCGTCCAGAGATACTACCACCTGCAGCCCCTGAACTACAAGTGAACATCAATCCTCCAACAAAAGTGGAGGTCCTGAACGCCATACAGCTACTGAAATGTGGGAAAGCAGCAGGACCAGATGGGATCCCGCCAGAAGCACTGAAAACAGATACAGAGACAACAGCAGCGGACATGCTAACACCACTACTGCTGAAGGTGTGGAAGGAGGGGAAGGTACCTGCCTGTTGATTGGAAGAAGGGTTACCTTGTCAAACTGCTGAAGAAGGGAGACCTCAGTGTTTGCAAGAACTGGCGCAGAATCACTCTCCTGTCCACCCAAAGCAAGCAAAATATCAAGCCGCATCATCCTGAAGAGGCTAACGGATGCACTGGATTCAAAACTATGACCAGAACAGGCAGGCTGGATTCAGGAAGTACAAATCATGTGCCAACCAAATTGCAACGCTTCGCATCATCATAGAACAGAGTATGGAACAACAACCAACTCTACACCTCAACTTCATCGACTTTGAGAAGGCCTTTGACAGTGTCGACAGGGAAGTAATTCGGCAACTGCTTCAATACTACGGAATACCACAAACCTTTCTCAGCCTCATTCAACAACTATATGAAGATGCCACATGCAAAGTAATTCACAATGGGAAGCTCAGCTCAGTGGTGCTTTTGAAGTGAAGACAGGAGTGAAACAAGGTTACCTACTATCCCCCATGATATTCCTGATTGTGGTCAACTGGACTGGATCATGCAGCAAACAGTGGGGGGGCTGTGAGAAGAGTGGGATACGCTGCGGGACCGCGGAAAAGAACCTAGAAGACTTGGATTTCGCCGACGATGAATTGTGTCTGGTGTCACACAAACCTGAAGATCTACAGGCGAAAACTAACAAGTTGGCAGAAGCGGCGAGGCAGCGAATACGGGACTTCCTTCAAGTGAATATAGAGAAGACAGAAGTGATGAAGATACCCCACCAACAATACCACCACCAACAACAAACTCCAATCACCATCAACGGGAGAAACTTAAAGGAAGTAACCTCCTTCACCTACCTAGGAAGCACTGTTTCAACTACAGGTGGCAAAGCCGAGGATGTCAAAGCCAGTCGGGATCGGAAAAGCAAGACAGGCGTTCACTAGCCTGAAATCAGTGTGGAGATCTCCTGCACTCAGCATGTGGAACAAGATCCGGACTTTCAATACCAACGTCAAATCAATGCTTCTGTATGGTTCAGAGACTTGGCCCGCTACGAAAGGCATTTCCAACGAATTGCAGACATTCATCAACAACTGTCGCCTACCCTCAATCGTTACTGAATATCAGATGGATTGCCAGAAATAATAAGCAAGAAAGAGCTCTGGGAACGAACCAATGAAGCAAGAACCTATCACCCAACAAATATGCACTGGAAGGAAGCGGAGATGGATTGGATTGGGCATAGACTGAGAAGGCCGATTGGGGACATCACGCGTCAGGCGAGGACAATCCCTGGAGTGGAACCGCGATGGGAAGCGACGAGTTGGGAGTTGGAGGTGAGGGTGAGGGTGACATGGAGTAGATCGTGCGAGGAGGAAATGATAGCTTGTGGGCCGTCGTGAAGGCAGGCTGAAAAGATTTCAGAGAACAGAGCATATTGGTGACGTGATGCTGAAGCCCTATGTTGCATTAGGATCCCAAGTAAATAATAATTGATTAATAATACCTTTTTCAGCAGTTTATACATGGTAGACCGATAGAAAGACATGAAAGGCGAAAGTCTGGGCTGTTATGTACCACTTGCCTCTCTTCACATAGGAAGTCTGTATGTGACGAAGAAGTTTAGTATCTCCACAGACACTTTAATCAAAAGCTAAGCATTGTTCTGAGTGATATAAGCTTCAGTCATTGAAAGGAGACCAGTTTCCTCATGTCTCTAGTCGTGAGGCATGAAACCTAGGTCAACAACTTTCTGCCAATGCATGCAAACCTTCAGTATCTTATTCTGCACTAGTATACAGCAATTCTAATATCCTTGAATCTTGATCTGTTGCTCAAGATTATCCAGCGTTCGCTGACCGTATTATCAGCATTATTACTACTATTATTTTTCCTGTGAGTTCCTAGTGAAACATAAAGCTTCAGTAACACATCACCATTTCACTCTCTCCTCTCCAGTCTTTCCAACCTGCCTCCAACACTACCCACAACCTTTCATTTACTCCTCACATCATCTCCTACATATCACCCCCAAAACTCATCGTTTCACATTCGTATTCCAATCGAAGACCTGGCCCGGCCTGGTGCATGATGTCCCCAAATAGTCTTCTCACTCTGTGTCCAAACCCATCCATATCCACTCACTTCTTATACACCCTTATTAGTTGAGCGACAGCTTCCTGCTTCGTTGTCAGGTCACAGTTCCTCTCTGCTTATTCTTATTATTCTGACTATCTCATCTGATGATGTATGTCTGTAGTTTGTTGCAAATGCTTTTCGTAAGGCACCAACTCTCTCAACCATCACATAGAATCACTGACCTACTTGACTGAGTTGACGTTGAAAAACCGGACATCGGTCACGCTTTATGCTGAGTGCAGTGCAGTAGATCTCCACACTGATTTTGGATTGATGGGGGAAGGCATGTCTTGCTGTCTTTCCGATCCTGGCTGGTTTTACATCCTCATGTGTGCCTGTGCTGCCGAACTCCCGTATTTGAGACGATACTGCCTCCTAGGTGTGCAGGTGTTGGGTGATAGGTAGGTAGGTAGGTAGGTATGGGGTGGTAGGTAGGTAGGTGTGGGGTGGTAGCTAGGTAGGTAGGTAGGTGTGGGGTGGTAGGTAGGTAGGTAAGTAGGTAGGGTGGTAGGTAGGTGAATGAGGCAACTGACTTCAGATTTCTCCCATTCATGGTGATTGGTGCTTGTTGTTGATGTTGATGCTATTGTTGGTTGGATATCTTCATCACCTCTGTCTCCTCTACGCTCACCTGAAGTAAGTCTCGTCTTCTTTCTCTGCTCTGCTCTGCCTCACCTGTTCAGCCAATTTGTTTGCTTCTGCCTGTAGATCTTCCAGTTTGTGGGATATTATACATGAATCTTCGGCGAGAAGCAAATCGTGTAGGGGCCTTTCACCAGTCAAACAGTGCATGCACACCTTCTTCCTCGTCACGGTTTCTTGCATGATCCAGTCCAGTCGACCACAATCAGGAAGATGGTGGGTGATAGTAGGTGGCAACATTGTCTCACTTGTCAAACTTTCTTCACTTCAAAGATATCACTGAGTCTTCCATTGTGAACCACTTGGCATGTGGCATCGTCATATGGCATGTGGTTGTTGTTGAATGAGGTTGATAAATGTTTGTTGCACTCGAACCGTAGTGTTGAAGCAGTTTCCAAATTACTTCTTGGTAGACGCTGTCGAAGGTCTTTTCAAAATCGATGAAGTTGAGGTGGAGATTTGACTGGCATTTTATGCTCTATTCTATCAAGATGCGTAGCGTAGCATTGCATCTTGATTCGAAAACGATTTGGTTTTTCGTCATAGTTCTGAATCCGGTGCATCCTTTAGGCTCTCCAGGATGATGCGACCTAATATTTTGCTTATGGTGTACAGCAGCATGATTCCACGCCAGCTCTTGTAAGAATTAGGTTCGCTTTCTTTGGAAACTTTACAGTGCAACCCCTCTTCCAATCAACAGACAGGTACCTTTCCTTCATTCCAAACCTTCTCCATTGGTGAGGTAGTGTGGTGTGGTGTGAGCATGTCCGCTGCAGATGTCTCTGTGTCAGTTTTCATTGCTTCTGGTGGAATCCCATCTAGTCCTGCCGCTTCCCCAGGTTTCACCAACGTCATGGCATTCACGACTTCACTTCTGCTTTTGTCCGACAGCATGCGTTCACTGGTAGGTCTGTAGCTGGACTGCTGGTCGCATTTCTTGACGAGTTGCACGTGGTGGTGATGGTGATCAACTCAAAAGTATTTTGAAGTGGTCAGCACATCGTTTCCTTCGCTTTTCCTCTCTGGTAACCACGTTTCCTTCAATATCTTCCATTGGTTTCATCTGTGCCATATGGGTCTCTGTCCTCTCAGATAGGAACCTGGTTATTTGATATGATGTTGTCAGGTCTCTATCTCTTGTATTTGCAGCCCATTCTGCTTCACTTACCAGTGTGTTGTGGAAGTGTCCTTCGTGTTTGCGCGCACTCTTCTTCACTTCATTGTCCAGTGTAGTGTTTTGTAGGCTGTGTTTACCTCCTCTTTTCGCTGTTCATCCCTCCACTGCACTGCACTGGTTTATCGTCCCCTTATTCATCACCATGTTTCTCTTCTTCCTCTAGCAGCTCCCATGTGTCTATTGAAATTCATTCATTGTCTTGACTTTTCGTACTTGCTAACATGGTAATCCAGGTTTCCTGCCAACTCTCTTCCAAAGAATTGCAGTGCGTTTCAAGCAGCTTATCGTGGGGATGTTGCTCAATATCTCCCATTTTGTCCTGATGACTGGCTGACGTGAAGATGTCCTTTGTAGTTTCATCCTTCACTTCAGTTCCTGTTCTCCGTGTCCAACTATGGTTCAACTGTAGTATATCACCAACTTCTATGGAGGCTTTCAACTTGATTTGGAAGTTAGGTTCCTCACACTAGATAGTCACTGGTGTCAATCTGCATGTGCTCCTCTTCTTCATCTGATCTTCTGTACAGTAGGCTGGCTGCGTCACCACTCTCTTCAAATTGAGATGAAGTCGATCTGATTTTTAGTGTAGTGTGTCCGTCTGGTGAAGTCAAATCCGTGTCGCTCGCTTTGTGAATATTCTTGTGTTTGTACACACTGTCTCCAATCATCAAATCATTGAAGGTGTAGAAGTCTGCAAACACTCCTCCATTCTCATTCATTTCACCGAGTGCCTCTCGACCCGTGATCAGTTCTCTACCAGTGTTGTCTGCTTCCAGTTTGGCATTCATGTCACTCCACCCATGAGAATGAATTTGATGTCACCAACTGGGATGCGGTCTCGTTCAGTACTGCTTGCAGTTGTCTGAACGATTCCTCCTTCTTCTCTCGATCAACACTACTTGTATGTGCGTAGTGTAGTGTAGTGTAGCGTGACATTGTATTATTGTGACTTTCCTTCCATTTTGAGTTGAATCTTGCTGTTATGATCCTGCAACAGGAGATTGTTTCCCACTGCACTGCATGAGAGTGAGCCTTCGATGTTGTTGAAGGGGACATCATGATAGCTACTCGAAAACTCAGTGTGCTCGTGGTTGTCGTCAGGGTCACAAAACTGGAATAGATTACTGACTGTCCAGTTGACAGATGGGGAGTCCACTTGCATTCCATCTGCTTTCACAGATTCCTTACCTACCACTTCTTTGTTATACCTTCCCATCTCTTTCGCAATCTGGGTAGCTTTGCCAGCCAGCTTCAAACATTGTTCGGACATTCTATGTCATCACGTTTACTTTCGCTTTGATCGAGGGAAGAGGAGACACATCGGCCAATTGACTTCCTACTGGCCTTCACCAATCGTCATCATTTCGTCTCTCCGATTCGAGCTAGGAATAAGTTTTTTTTTACTTTTTTATTTTCTTTGTGCTTTGAAGCTTGTTTAGAGATTGGATTGATTTTCCGGGGTAGGTTTGCTAGCTCTATGCCCAACCTTCCCTCTTTACCCGTGCTTAGGACCGTCTGTTACTATTGAACCAGTTACGTAGGGCAGGTTGTTCGTTGACAGTGGCTGTTATAATTTTAATTCATCAATATAGTTTGCGGATAACACTGACTTTCAGCTACCGAGTAGTCAGGATATTACGCCCTGCTACATTTTTGATCGTCCAACAGCCTGTCTCATTTCTTAGTCTGTTTTATTTTACTCTTGTAAGCATTTGCTACGAAGCCAGGCATGTAAGCTATTTAAAATAATTTAACTAATCAAGACAACAAAAGTGTAAGCTAAAACTAACGTCTTACTAACAGTGATAGCACATTCATTTTTCAATCAAGTCCTTTAATAAATTACATATTATCAATATCAACCAATGAAATCCAAGCCTTCATTTTCTCTTTCATTGATTAATCTGATTGGTTTAAATTATTTATTGACCGGCCCGGAAGTTCTCTTCAGACTACAATGGAAAACATGTGATCAGCCTACCAATACTGGATTGATAAATTATATTCCTTATTTTTTACTGTAAATGGTGAATTTTCCTGAGGTAAGGAAACTTACACAGTTATTTTGGTTTTTACCAGGATGTTAGCTTTTAAAGTTACTCCATACTTTTATTTAGGCTATTGCTCACCGGAATTGATGTAATTTGGGGAACTATTGGAATTTTGAGTTTTACAAAGTGCGCATTAGTAACATACTCTGAGATGACTATCTCGAAGTTTTCTTGAGAAGCCATGATCTGTGAGTCCAACCGGTCAGAAGTGAAGCAAATCCTAACTGAAGAACTTGGTAGATAGTTGTGCGAACTAGCAGGATTAGCAGACTGTGGACATTTGAGCTGCAACTTAGTGAATGAATAGTTAATGCATCCACCATGAGATCTGAGGTATCTGAGTTCTATCCCTGGTGGCAACCAATAAGATCTAAGCTTTGAATGTTCTGATGGATTTCTGACTTACGCAACCATGGTTCCTAGTAACACAATCGTCAGCTTACCGAAAAGATCTCACTTAAAAAAATGCATAAAAATTGAAGATAGTTGTACTGTGTTGAAAATTCGACCAGTGAGAAAATTAATACATTTAGTCTGTTCTATATTCCCCGTCGAATGTGTTTTGAACCCATCATTACACTTCAAATATTTTATAAAAATATTTTAGTTACTTAAACTGTAGTTAGTAGTATGACATAGTGATAAATGTTTCAACGCATGAAACTTTAAAAGGTTAGGGGGTTCATGAAAAACACGAAAAACAAATAATACTTTTCAACTTACTGGTTTTAGATCACAATGAATAATGCCTTGTTTTCGTAATAAACAAAGACAACTGAGTAGTTTGACTGCAATTTTTTTCAATGAATGTATTGTAAAGCCACGAAAATCATTTTTTCGTAAGAGATCATATAAATTTGAGCTGTAACAAATCAAGGGGGAAAACATTGATTTATTGAAAGGCATATTAGTTTAATAAAATAACTGACTGGATCATTACCCGATCGAAATGACGTTAAATCTTGAGACATGTAGTCGTTACAAGTGTTCAAGAATCACGCATGCATGTTGAAAGCCGGTGACAATGTAGTAAGAAGTGTATAGCTGATAGCTTTTGTCGGTGTTTAAGGAAATTTGTCAGCTATTGACTAGTAAAAGAAAAATCCTGGAAACTCCAGCGAGTAATAGACCCCTTTTTTCACCTTTGTATGTTATCTCCCTCTCGCTGAACTATGACTTGTCCCGATTATGTAATATCTCTTCGGTTGGCTGTTCGAAAGTGCTATAAACGTAACTATTTACCCTCTATGCCACACTGTTCTGTAAATTCGTATAAGATTCTCATCATGTATTGAGTCCTAATTCAATGGTGATTATGGTGATGAATACTGGTGATTATTAGAGGAATTCAGGACTCTGGTTTCCTCTTTATTGGCACTCGTCAGATGGATAGATCATCTTTCTAGTGTTGATGTGGTACACTAATCTTTACTTTAGGACACCTAAGGGAGGACTGTTCAGTGCCAAACTTGATGGTTACTTGATCCCTTAGGAATACGGAAGATAGAAAGCGGAGAATTTATGAGAGAGTTGTGGGTAATCATCAGAAAACCATGCTTGGCTTAGATTTAGCGCTCGTTGGAACTCATCTATAACGCCCTTCTACATCTATGAAGAAAATAATGTCTACTCAGACATTCGAGATCATGTTACGCAGTACTGCAGTGACAGACATTCCAAATGATCAATTTCGGCTGCAGTCGATACCCTACGAGAATGGATTACACAGACTTGTCCATCAATGGAGCACAACAACTTCCAGGTTAACTAGTCATGAGTACTGATAGGATCCTATCGATCATTCGAGGTTGAGATACAGCCGTCCGACGAATCCCAATAAAGACGAAATCTTGGTCAAACAGGGTCTCCTGCCAATTGCCTCGAAAAGTTACAAGAAGCAAAACGAAAACATGGCAGCAATCCTTGAAGTCTCTTACTGTTACCTCGACCAGTTTTATAAAATGTAGACTTCTCAACTGTGGTTGATATGGCAATCCGAAACTAGAAGTTTTAGACTCTAGGTGATATGCCTCATATGAATCCACACATTATCTGCATCTTAAACACTATACAGAATTTCATAGTCATCTCACTCCTTCTTGCTCTGTTTCCACGATGTTCTACCTCTTTTGACTATTTATATATTAGGTATGGGAATTTTGACCATTACATAGTGGTGTCAGGCCCCTTACTGATAATAACTGACTGATGTGTCCATACATAACTATACATACATTGTATAAAACTCACCCGAGTAAATCGAAGACAATGCATAAATGATTACGAAATGTGAAATGATCTCTAATATGTATAATATTATGCGTATTCCTATGATCAGCCTTCTTCAGATTCTCTAAAATAGCCACTTCCACTTGAGCCTGTTGATGAAATCTAAACAATGTTGAAAAAATAGAAAAAAAATAAACAAAATGTCTAAAAGTTTGATATTACTTAGTGGAGGATAATATAGCCACCAGTAGAATCCAGGACGTAGTTTTCCTTCTACTTAACACTCCTCAGATGGATATACCAACCATCCAGTAAGTGTTGTTTCGGCTAGGACTCGAACTCAGTGCCAGTTGCTCAAAATAGCAGAGTGTTATCTACTAGGCCTGTAAGTGAATATAACTAGTTCTCGTAGTCAATCAACATGGTCAAATCAACGATGGGGAATTATAAGCTATAACATATGAACTACTTGACAATTTATCCAATCAAGTTCATTTTATACATAGAACAAATGTAGAAAAACTCATCTCAGACACTAGTTAACAGTGGACCAATAAAATGATGGTAACAACCTTTGACCAAGGATGATAATAACAGACCATTCAAATTTGAATGACACTACCTTTAATCAAGATTAGGGGCGAATATTTAAACCGATTTTTGTATGGCAAACATCAACCAATCAGATGTCTCTCTGTCTGTCTGTCTATCCATTGCAACAATAATCAAAGTGATAGTATTGACATTATCATGGACTTAAATCATTTTAAGAAGCATTGAAAACCCCGAAGCGCTGAATGGCTATTTCGTCTATGCAGGAGAATCTTCAGCATTGTACATTCATGATCCAGTGAGAGATCATTATAAACCGCCAGCTGAATAGTGAAATTCACAAAATAAGAGGAAAGATGTTCGAACAAAGATGAAATATTTTCTTCTACACGGAAATCAGGTTTGTCCCTGTGGATTGAAAATGACTTCCTTGTGCACAAATTATTAGACCGTGTACGAGAATTTTGTGACACAACTCTGTTGACGGCCATGAAGGATAATTCTGTGAAATGTCCTTCGAAGGTACACTGTACGCACGTCACAGGTAACTAACTCCACAACTGTAAGTAGACTCGTAGATGTGTGTATTGAGGTGGTGCAAAATGGTAGCCTTTCTTTCACTCATTGGCATATTAAGCGATGGCTAAAGAAGACAATTCTCAGCTCAACAGAAAGTTGTCCTTCTCAGAAAAATGAAAAATGCATTCTACAAAATTTCTACTGTTGTATCCCCAGAATTCTAAGTTGATTTTCATCATGGACTGACATTAGTTGAAGGAACATTGAAAACCTGGGAGCACTGGACAGCTGTTTGATCTCACTGATATAAGACTTCCCAGCATTGCGCACCCATGACCCCTCCAGGTATTGGGCCCAGGGCCTTGAGGTTCCACCGCCAACGCGTCCCATACTAGGAGGAAACAATGCTGCCAGGTTTCCAATATTCCTCCAAGTGAATTCAATAGACCATCATAAACCCGAAAAATGGTAAGAATTTTTTCACGGTGTATTGTTTTGGCTTCAAACTTTCTGAACAAGTCTACAAGGGTAATCATTTTCCACCATTGGTTACGGGAGTGTTTCCAGTTAAATGAGTAACTTTAAATGAGATTCTAGTAACGAATAAAACGATCATACAGGTTTATGTTTTCGTTTGGAAATATAATTTTTCTCATAAAACAGAACCCCTTGTTGGTTATCTAAGTGATTATTAAGGTAGCCTTTAAAGTAATCCGAAATAAACAATTAAATTCTTATATATGTTACTGATGGATAGTGGGTAGCAGTAGAATCTGGCTTGATGTGCGTTTCGTTCTGTTCTGGACTTGTCGGCTGGATGTACCTGCCTCACTTGAACTCGAACTTGATTCAAGTATGCAAATATTTTGTATAAGTGTTGGTGTTAAAATTGTTTTGGGTTGTATGTAGCTGACGATGAACCACGAAATATAATGAATCTATGCTGTTTTACTGAAGTTGTTGTTCTTGCGCTATTCAAATATGCTGAAGTGTTATGTAGACCTGTTTAAACGATTCTTTAGTAATAAAGCTGTTCGATTCCTTATCAGTAATGAAAGCATAAAAGCATGAATACGGAAAATTTCAAGCAGTAACATAATATTCTGAGATTATAAACATCCATACTATAATTGTTACGAATGTCCTGGAAGAAGCTGGGCACCGAGGTTGACTCAATCAACATCAGAATGTTCTGAGATTAAGAATTTTTCTCGCCCAAATTGCAAATCATATCACACCGAATTATTACGACCTTAGTTGGTTTTCTCCATCAAATCCAACCACTGTTTTATTAATTTATATTACACTACCGCTTGGATTTTTCTTTATTGTGAAATGATAACATATCTTAAAGAGGCCTAATTTGTTTTTTTGTTCTTCAATTGGTGGTGCCCTATTACTACTTTTCTTTTCCTATGGATGGGTTGAAATAAAATCTCGTTCACATTTAGGTGTCTCGGAGAAAGCACAGCTTTACATATCTGCCCACAACAGCCAATTGCTTTCGCGGAAAACGTGTATGGCCTATTTAAATTATTAACCAATAAGAATAGTAAACTCAAGGTTATTTGCCACTGATTGGTTGGTATTCCCATCGGGCGTTAGGCACCTATGTCAGGGAACAACGTTTTGAAAAAAACCCCACAGATCTAAATACCTTTTAAGAAGTCCAACAGGATTTTAGTTACTAAACAAATTACTTCCCAGTGAGCAACCTTACTGAACCTTACAACGAAGAAACCAGTCTTGTATACAACATTCAGCTAGATCTGGACAAATTACAAAAATCATTTCAGGATGTATAATAAGCTGAAACGTTATTCTAACGAAAATATTGTGTTGTGAATTAAAACAAGTTATTCAATATATCTTCATTTGGTTTTACCCTTCATGGTAGGATTAATTACTGAAAAGTCTCAGCCAAGGAGGATGTTATAACTTTGTCTCATGGTTATTGTCTTAAGCATGTGATTCAGCTTATTCAATTTTACCTCTGATCTTGAACGTGATTGGTCATCCATTTACTTGTTCAGTCGCATGTATTCAGTTCACCCAGACGATGAATCACACAATCCAAACTTCACCTGCACCTGTACAACAGAACATAAAGTTTGCTGCTTATTGCCCGCATATACTTCAGGCGATCTAATTCAAGTGTATATACAATCAAGTTACCTGAGCATAATGCATCGAAATTCATAGGGATGAAGCAAATAGTTTCAAGGAGAAAATGTGGAATTATGCACAACCATGTATTTCACTAAATGTTCAATTATTTTCTAACTGTAAGTTAAACGGCTATCACTCATGATCTTCCTGATTGTAGCCGACTGGATCATGTAACAAACTGTGAGGAGCGAGAACAGGCGGATACCATGGACCGGGGAAAACATCCTAGAACACTTGAATTTCACAGATGACTTCTGTCGAATGTCTTCTCGCACAAACTGCAAGATAGACAGCCGAAAACTAACAAGTTGACAGAAGAGGAAGGGCAGGGCAGGGCAGGGCAGGGCAGGACAGGGCAAGGCAAGGCAAGGCAGCGAAGACGGCACTTCAAGTGAACGTAGAGAAGACAGAGGTGATGAAGACACCCAACAACAACAATAACAACAACAACAACAGCAAACTGCAATCACCACCAGTGGGAGAAACTTAAGGGAAGTAGCCTCTTTCACCTATCTAGGCAGGGCAGCATCGTTTCAACTACAGACGGCACAGACACAGATGAGGACGTCAAAGCCAGTCAGGATCGGACACACAGCAAGACAGGCCTTCGTTGATTAACCTGAAACCAGTGTGGAGATCTACTGCACTGCACTCAGCATAAAGCATGAACAACATCCGGATTTTCAACACTACTAATGTCAGTCAAGTCAGGGCTTGTTTGTGATGGTTGAGAGACTTTGCGCGTTATGAAAGGCATTTCCAACAAACTACAGACATTCATGAACAGCTGCCTACTCTGACTCGTTACCGAAGATCAGGTGGCCAGAATAATAAGAATAAGCAGTAAGGAACTGTGGCTGGCTGGCTGGCTGGCTGGCTGGCTGGCTGGCTGGCTGGCTGGCTGGCTGGCTGGCTGGCTGGCTGGCTGGCTGACTGACTGACTGACTGACTGGCAACGAACCAACGAAGCAAGAACCTATCACTCAACAAATATGCACTGGAAGGAAGTGGAGATGGATTGGGCATACACCTAGAAGACTATTAGAGGACATCACGCACCAGGTCACTTGCTCGAGTGGAACCCAGATGAGAAACGACGAGTTGGGAGTCTGAGGTGAGGGTGACATGGAGGAGATGGTGTGAGGAAGAAGTGAGAGCTTGTTGGCTGTTGTGGAGCTAGGTTCAAAAGTTTGCAGAGAAGATGGTGCACTAGAGGTGTTCTACTGAGGCCCTATGTTCCACTAGGAACCCAAGAGACAAATAATAATAATGATAATAATAATAATTAGTGAAACGTAAATGAAGGAGGGGTGAGGGTCACCTATAAGATATTGTTATTAATTAGGTCATAAGTAAAATGACTTTTATTATAACTAAATTAATGTAACCAATAACTCTTCTCAGCTGAGAGTCATATTACCCACTTTAGGTTCATATGAAATAAAATCTCTTCATAGTATCTTGTAAACACTTTAATATGTTGTAATGACAATGTATTACTGTTTATTTACCTCTTTTTATTTCGTATAATTTTATTGCAACAGGAAATCCAGATTTATGATCAATTGCTCGTATCACTCGACCAAATGAACCTTTACCTAAAGTTTCTAATGTTTGAAATCGATAAGCGATATGATCATGAGTTATCTGTAAATAAAAGTGAATCAAAATAATTTTCAAAAAATGTTGATGTTCACAAGTTAAAACACCAGAAATTATACTATACTTGTCATACAAGGAATGAAATGTTGACTTGATCGCCTATTGGACAACGCACTGGTGATAAATCATAACTATAGTCGACTTGTACCAATTTATATAGTAAGGGTATCTAATGGATTCAGGCATCTTATGTAAATCATGATCATAATTCGACAGTGAAATTTCACAAGTGTTGTATGTATGTAAATACCACTGTGGAAATCAACTGCAATCAGCATGTGGAACAAGATCCAGATTTTCAACACTAAGTCAGTCAAGTCAGTGCTTCTTTGTGATGGTTCAGAAACTTGGCACGTTTCGAGAAGCATTTTAAACAAACTACAGACATTTATTAACAGCTGCCGCCTGTGCTGGATATTAAAGATGGCAATCAGATGGCCAGAGAGTATTAGCAACAAGGAACTCTGGCTGGCTGGCAACGAACCAACCAACAACTTATCACCCAAAAATATTCAGAGGGAGAAAGTGGAGATGGGTTGGATCAGGCATACACTGAAAAGGCCGACTGAGGACATCACGCGATAGACCAGGCCGTCGAGTGGAACCCAGATGGGAAACGACGAGTTGGCATCTGGGGCGAGGGTGACATGGAGGAGATGATGCGAGGAAGAAGTGAGAGCTTGTTGGCTGTCGTGGAGCCAGGTTCAAAAGTTTGTAGAGAACAGAGTGGAATGGAGACGTGCTACTGAAGCCCTATGTTCGACCAGGAACCCAAGAGACAAATAATAATGATAATAATGTATTTAAATGTCAACGTGTTTGAAATAAAATAATGCCAACTTTTCACAAGGAAGTCAGGTTGTCTTTTTCAAAGAAACAGTCAAAATTAAAATTTCGAAGTATGTATAAATGACTTCAAAAAGTGTGTTCTTAACCTCTATATACAATCTTGTTTGTCATATCATTTCAGTCATTGGAGAACAACCAATTTCATACAATCCAGTCTTGATTTCTGAAGCTGATTGCTCTTCAGTAGTCATTCAATGTATCTAATCCAGCCCTACAGAGTTTGACTCGCTGCCAGAATACCTCAGTGGTAATATTACCGAATACAGCATTAAATGATGAGCCTTCGAATCTCAGACGGGACGTTAGTTCTTAGAAAGTTTTCGACATGTATGACATTTATATAAGCACAGCTTCCCACTAATTACTCCAAACAACTAACACAAACCAGAGCGAATCACTATAATGAGTCTCCGAGCCAACTTGACAAAGCAGTATTAGTAATCTAATGCCATAGGAGTTCATTTGTGGCCCAAATAGCTCAGCGATAACACTTCCGGGCACAGAGGTTGAAGATATGGTTTCCAATCTCTGAGAAGGAATGGATTCATCTGAGGCTTCGCATGCTTCTTGCCGACAAGCATGAAAGATAGGTTAAACAAGGCATAATAACGACCGCCAACAACCCCCTAACACGGAATACTACTGCCTGTCATCAGAGGTCTCATTGTCAATGTGTTGGATACGCCTCTCCAAATTAACGTATGCAGGACTTATTTCCTCTACCAGGGCTTTATTACGCAAATGGATAAAAGTTATTTTCGTTTCCGAGCATAGTTTTAAATCAGGGTACTTTACCTTTCATGATCAAAACAATCATACTTCGTCATAAACCGGCCAGTACCACTGAAACTTTCCTCCTTTATGCAAGTGACTATCTTAACGTAAAACTTGAATCAAAATATGTGAATTCAGGGTGATGACACTGCTACTGAAAGCAATCATTCACATTTATGACCATCAAGACCGAATAGGAAATTATTTGAGAAGAAATTCGCACTGTTCCCTCTGCTTTTTTTTAGAGTTTGCCCTTCTAGTACCCTTATTGACCCCGAGTGACTAATTTATCCTTTGCATTTACTGTCACAGTCATTGCATGGGATTCAATAACCTTATTTACTGAACAGTTCCCTTAATAATTTCCACCAAAGTTTCTGTACATAATCATTCAGTGGTTAGGTTTCTTTTATGCACTGTTTGCTGACAGTTCCCTCGCTCACATTTTATTTTTCCATCTTTTTACTTGATCTTTTCGTTCAGCGTGCTATATCTAGCATTGATTAGGAAAGTACCATGTAAACTCATGTCCAAGCCTCTATCTTGTTTACGCTTTATTTCTTAACCCGATTCACCAAAAGTCCTAGCTTATAACCCTTTAGTTAATTAGATTACTGCTACCACTCAGTGTACGCCTCTGAGGGCTCTTTCCGCATACTTTCGATGCTAGGCTGCAAATGTGATATCAGTATCAATAAAACAACCAATTGGCAAATTATTTACAAACTTCACAAGTGTCGTTAGCATTTCTCATAGATGAGAATTAAATTTTAGTGATGACCAATCACTTTCGAGTATGCACTGACCAATCAAAATCGAGTATGCGAAGGACGGTGTAATCATTAAGAAAAATGATATTTTATTTGCAATCTATAAACCTGCTTCATATGAGAAATAAAGATAGCTAGATTTTCATTAGGTTTATCATCACTGAAACCATACCATTATATGCATTGCCACTTATCGATATGGGGTCTTGATGTATCTCCTGGTGATCCTGTTGAAGGTCTTAGAAATATTCGAAGACAACTCAGAATATTTTCGATATTGTTCTTGTGCTCTCAAGTTATCAGACCGATGGCACGTAGGCTTCCAAGCATCTGTGTATATTGTGGTAACTGTTGCTACCCATTTTTCTATAACTGATAGGATAGATTCTTCTGACTTATTCTTTATCCACTGAAAATGTATTTTCTTCGCATCTAAATGGTGTTTGCCAAAAATGTGTGGTTTATCAAGACCCGTGTATTTAACTTTTCCAGTCTTGTTTCAGTCGTCTTCTTCGGTTATACTTACGTATGCGAACAAGTCATTCATTTATTTCCTCCGCATTACCTGCACTAACAAACATCACAACCAACCTGCATGTTAAATTGAAGCAAATATTTGTGCAGTGCTGATACTGTTACACTGACAAGACTTCACTGAAAACTGTCAAACCTCCAGCTGGTATTACAGGTGTTCCTTCAACCCAATGCAGTACTGAAATCATTTTTTACTGGATAGATCCTTCGAAAAATTATCATTTTCTGGAAGATTTCTTCTGATAACAGGTGGGACAACGAAAGGCGAAACTGCCCCTGTTCTAACTATCAGGTAAAACGATCCATTACAACAACACATTTACAAATTAGACTTCTTGTAAGCAGTCTAACTCTTTGCAACGTTATAACGTTATCTTCGTCATACTTCATCGACAGATTATGCAGCATCAACAGCATGGTAAACGGATGTAGGAAAGTGACCTTGAGTACATGGCCTAAAACTTGGTTAGTTGCTTCTAAGGCTTTCCATTACTAAAGTTTAGTTCTACACTAACTGTTAGGGTAACAGGGTTTCCGTTAGAACCCATCCTGGATCCAGGATTGCAAGGTGTAATCTCTTAACAAAAGTACTATGAATTATAAAAATATACTACCGTGCAACATGAACAGTTAACAACTGTCAGACTGATCTCCAGACTTTCCTAGCCAAATCAAAGTGGTCTAAATACCTGTGAATTATTTCATCCGCCCCAAGTCTGGTTCATCAACAGTGTACTGCAGTTTGTCACGATTAAACAATCCAGCTCACAGAACACGATACAACCATGACCAATTTAGAAATTGTTCATTTGTCCGAATTTTCATCATAATCTGTGCATTTTATAAATGATTTGTGAATATGTAGGCCGTTCGATTCAAATCAGCTAACGAAATTCAGGTGATCTGGACAGTTTGGTTCAGTAAACTGAATTTGTTTGGTTTCCCGCCTGATGAACTTGGCAGTAAACCAGTGAAATGGTCATCCAGTAGTTAGATCATTCTGAGTTGACTAACAAAATCTAAACAACAGTGTGGTTGAGTGTCTGATTGCTTATTTAGCTCATTTGTATACTTTAATAACCAACTTTATATCCTAATGAACACTTGAAAATTGTTTAAACACAACTAATTTGTATTTAATTTGAACAATAAGTAAAATTCTTCAAGGTTAACCGATCAATAAAAATGTGTTAAATAAAATTATCTATTCATTCATGTGATTTATTTTAGCATCAAAATTATATATGAAACATGCCTTTATATATCCTCCAGCTTCATCATCATAACCATGATTACTTGAAGAGCCGATAATTCCTTCAATTTTTTGAGCAGAAAGACCAAGATACCAAATTTTAGAGAAATTTAATATTTCATCTCGTTCATATGATGTCAATTTCTTTCCATAAATACTTAAAGCAGCTAAAAATAATTAAAGTAGAGAAACACATCCGGGATATATAATTACTGGTAAGTAAATACAGTTAATCTATATTGACAGGAAAATGAGCTCTTATGCGGCGGCGTCAATATTGCCGGTGTTGTCAATCTTGACAGCAATGATGTTTGGTGATTAGATGTGGGGTCTAGAAAGCATGTTTCGTTGTATTTGGCTGTACTTTCCTGCCAGTGAGTGATATTGTTCCTACATGGGCATGAAGCTAGAACAAATCGTCCTGAATGCCATAGCGTAATCCGCTAGACTAGTCACTGGCGATAACTACTACTTGATGGAGTAGCTCATGCATCTCACTGTGAATCTCTAAGCAGAATGAAATCCACATCCTGGATTCCACTGATAGCCACTATCCATCATAAATATCAAGACTTCATGCTCTATAGTATTAGGCTGAGGAAGACTAATTATATGACTTACCGTGTGAGTTAACTGAGCATATGAGGCTGGGAAATACGTACGATTTTAACTTCATACAAATTAAGTGTCAGTAATGGGTCGAAAAACCTATTTGAGTTAGACCGGTACCTAATAAACGGGTAAATGTAAAGGCCGTCAAAGCAACTACTGAAAAAAAAACCAGATTTCGGTATATTGGTGGAAGATTCATTTCCCAAAAAATAATGAAACGTAACTGATTATCACGACAGTTCTTGGAGTGAACTTTAAAATCACACCTTCTAAGAGCTGACATAATGGATAACTATGGAAGTCACCAAATTAAAAAGTCAACTGGTCAGTTAAGTTTCTGCAGTAATAATCTTTTCACGAAATACAGAAACTGATGTTACAAGTCTTTCTAACAATTCACTACAACCGTTTAACACAAAAGTTCATCGCACCACAGTCGCTTAGCGTCCAAACTGCAAAACTTAATCGATATGCTTCAATCAGGGTTAAACAGTTAGGACCGGGCACCTACATTGGTCACCATTGGACGACCAGTTTGTATACTTTACATAATTTCATCACTTTTCTTTACTTATCATGTATTGTGGTTAGAGTTAGGAATGTTTAGTTATCTTTTATCTACTTCACCATTCGCATTTTCTAGAAATCCTTATCTGTTGGTCTTACTGCAACACAAGCTCAAATTATAAAAAGTCCTACTCAAAGATTATTGATGCAGGTGAGTTGAGCATTAACATTTGAGATGTAACATCCTTAAGGATACCATTTTCTCTGAATATATATCATGTTTTTATACCGTCTTACTGTTTGAAAGGAAATCCATATTTGAATAACTTGTCCTAAAAAGGATTACTTAGTTCCCCCTCATTACATCAAAACTGATTGGCGTAACCAGAGTTCATCCAAAAAATATCAATCAATGTGGTACTGGTGGCAGTCAGAAATCAACTACATATTGACTCATAATTTACTCGAAGAAGTGAGATATCGGTTGATGAAATCATATTAGGTGTACAGTTGTGTCTGACCTCTACACTCTTCACGTTTCAACACAAAACAAACAGAAGGAGTAGCTATGGGATTACCAATATTCCCAATCCTAGCAGACATATTTATGGATAGTTGGGAACACACAGTTTCAAACCATTTAATCAGACAGGTAAGATTTGGCGGCGAAATGTGGATGATGCATTCACTGTATTGAAATTGGAACATGTCAACAATTTTATCACACATATAAACTCAGTAGCAGACGTAATTTAATTCACTTACGAGGTAGACAATTAACAAGGAGAATTACCCATGTTGGATTGCAGAGTGAAATGAAGGGTAGGTGGTGATTTGGGTACTACTGTCTACAAGAAACTGACACATTTTAACCTGTGTCTAGACTTCAGGTCATCTCATCCAGTGTCAGTGTAGGTAGGTTTAGTCGAATGTCTGAATGATAGAGGTAGAAAACCCACTGGTCAGTATAAGGACTGAAATAAGGAAGTGAAGCACATAAAGAAAGAATAACAGAAACTTTACGTAAGATTTTCAATAAGGTTGGAATTAGAGTGGTATTCAAACCTACAAACTCACCCAAAGATAAGCTTTGTTGGCTGGCTTAAGAATCCAATAGAACCAATTAAGCGAAGTAATCTAATCTACAAGATTCTGTGCATTGACTGACTGACGTCAAGTTGATAGATCAAACTAGTCGGTCGAGGTCAGTCAGATTGTCGGAATATAGAAATTTAGCCAAGTATAGAATGACAGACCTCTATAGGACCAATAATCTAGAAAATATCTCGCCTATTTCGATGCATGGCTCAACACAAAACTACCCATAACAGGGTGGGATAAAACAGCTATACTCAGGTCCAATATGATTAAGTTAAGAAGCAGACTGATTCCTAAATCTTTGTTCTTCGAATCAACACCCAAAACACGTGAGATACAAATGATGCAAGACCTATACCAGAGATATGAAAAATTCCACTATCAACGAAAATATAAAAAAATGTGAGGTGGGTGATACGACTGTAAAAATCAGATATAGAAAGGAGCTTTTGGTCACACTGATATGGTTATGAGCAATAATTTGAGCTCAAGACGTTGTCATCAAGTAAACAATATCGTATCACTATGTGCTTGCTATATCAAATAAATAAATCGAATATGCAATCACATTCTATCGTAGTGCCAAAGTTTTACACTTATATTAATGGTTATTTCTGTTATCGAAACCCAACAGTGGGAAAAATTGTGAATTTCAGATAAGCAAGTGTCATCGGTTGCATTATTTAGTTTATTTCATGACCTATTTTAGTAACAGTAAAGTTTGATCAGTCCACGAACTTTCAATCAAACCGTCCCCTCACTCCATTTTTGCATAGGTGAAACTAACCAATCATTGTGGGTTATACCGATCTTTCTGCTGGAAATCGGTTGTTATATTTTTATAAATTATAGTGCGTTTTTCGTCAAGTAATTTGTTTGTATAAACAGATGAATGAGGCCACCTGAAGCGTATACGGTCAATAAACACCAGACTTTGTTCTCTGTTGTAAGCAGTTGCAGGAATGACCTGAACTGAGTTCCTCTTCGTGTGGGTGGATTAGTAAACGAGATTGGGCAGGTATATTGGAGACCAATAACGTTCAGGGTCAGTCATAAAATTGAGCTGGCAGAATCACATGTTTAAGAAAATCACAAACAGTCAGAGTTATAATATTTTCAGTGGTTGTTAAGTCTACCTTTATGTCCACTCCATATAGCAATAGTATATACATAATATGCTTTAGTTATTATTGGACTATGCAATAATTAGTCACTGGATAATGTTCACTATCAAACTGTCTTTGCAGTTGATTGGTTGAAAATCAAACGTTTCAGTAATGTAGTTCTCTTTCTTTCCTTTTTGGAGAGTAGACAAACATCTAGTGGAAAGCCCCTGTCTCATATTTTATTGTTTGTGCGGTTTGTAGGCGTTGAAAACCTTTCTGTATTATTCATCTAGTCGATTGAATAGTGAATTCTATCCGACTAAATCTGTTGCTAAATGAGAATTTCTTTCCCTGTTTTTATTACCATAGCATCTGATGACCAATTCTCCGACAACATATGAACCTGATTCGATTAAGTGATGTATGAAATTTAGAAGTGAGTATCTTAAAGGAACAGCTATGCATGATGATTGCTTGTTGTCATCTAAGCTTTAAGGTTTTTTCTTGGGTGTTCCGTCATGCAGCTAGATGACTTCAGCAACATTCACTTTATAAAGAGGTATGGTTTATGAAGTTCTGTATTTCAAAATGTGCCTTTGCAATAGCTAACTACAAGCTCATATATTAGATTAAGCCTTTCATTCTAGCTGCGTTCAGTTATTCAGCGAGATTAGATTTATTCCCTGGGAAATCATCATATATGGCTCATTTTTTTAGTGAAGCTATCAAGACTTACCAGGTTGCAGGTAAGTTCATTCGCCGATAATTGAACCACATAGATTACGGACTGCATAACCACTTTCATCATGTTCTCTGATCACGTATGATAAACCTATGCAAATGCAAGATGCTTACTGCCTATTCATCGGAATGTGAAATGTAGTCTGAAAACATCTCTCATGAGCACAAATACTGAGTGGGATAGAATTTTCTCCGTCCAGTTTACTTGGCGGTAACCAGGGTTGATATCAAGGAGTGAGTTCAGTTAACGACAGGGAATTACGAGCAATAACATCATTACTATGCCCGTCACACAAGCAGAGGTTATCATGACTCAGAGGCCTAGTAAATAACTCTGTGGCGTTTGAAGCAACCGTTCCTCGGTTCTAGTCCCAGTAGAAACAACACTCACTGGGAGGTATGCAGTGGCAAAATAGGACTAAACGTGCTTTCTGGATTCTACTGAAAGCTATTACCCAAGGTTACTGTCTGCATTCTTTCATCACACTTAGATTTCACAAGTCGTCAGTAGTTCACTCCTTTGATTTGTACAAAATTAATTAAAAGACGGTTGGTCGATAAGAATTACGAGGTGTACAGCTTCATTGAATCAAGTCAACTCTAACGCAACTTCACCGACTTTGAGAAGGCCTTTGACAACGTCGACCGGGAAGAAATTCGGCAACTGCTTCAACACTACGGAATACCACTAACTTTATCAAACTCAATCAACAACTATATGAAGACGCCACATATCAGGTGATTCAGAATGGGAAGCTCAGTGATGCCTTCGAATTAGGGTGAAGAGAGGAGTAAGACAAGTCTCTCAACTATCACACATCATCTTCCTCATTGTAGTGGAGTGGATCATGCAACAAACTGTGAGGAGCGAGAACAGGCAGATTTCATGGACTGGGGAAAACATCCTAGAACATTTGAATTTCACAGATGACTTCTGTCGAATGTCTTCTCGCACAAACTGGAAGATGGACAGCCGAAAACTAACAAGTTGACAGAAGAGGAAGGGCAGGACAGGGCAGGGCAAGGCAAGGCAGCGAAGACGGCACTTCAAGTGAACGTTGAGAAGACAGAGGTGATGAAGATACACAACAACAACAACAACA